AACACAGGAAGGGAAGGCCCTGGGGACGAGACAAGGGAGGAATAGGGATCATTTTGACTGTTTGCTGGTCTATATTTTCTGAAATTTTCTCTAATCAACCTGTTACTTTTTATTAATTTTTTAAAGAGCTTCATCCAACTCATCAAGTTCCTACAGTAGAATAGCACAAAGATTTATGTCACCACATCACAACCCTGTGGGAGCTGAAACAATTACTGGGGGATGAAATGTTTATGAATAAGACTGGCTACAGTTACTTGAGCTGCTGAGATTAAATGACAGGAGTAGTTGTTCTTTCAAGGCACAGACTGACCCTCTGCTTAGGAAACAAATTTTCTTCTGCTTAAAAGGGATGAGGAAGGACAGCAGCAGTACTTTCCCCTGCACAATAGCTGTGATTAAGACTTCTGGAATATTCCCATAGAAGGATTAAGGGCTGTGGGATTGTTTCGCCTGAAAGCAAGAAAGCGGAGGTAAGACATAACTCATTTGACTTAAATGGAAAATAGAATGTGAGAATATAGGCTGGAATTGTTATAGCAAGAGTTCTTCTTTTTCGCCTTATAAAATTGTGACATATAGCATAAAGAGTAAATGTATAACTTTAATAAACTATTGGAAAGCAACCATATATGTAACCACCACCCAAGTCAAGGGCTAGAACATCACCAGCACCCAGAACATTCCTTTCCAGTCAAACCCCTTGCCCCCTTCCTCCCTAGAGGTAACCACCATCCTATCTTTTATACAGTGCAAACTATAGTTTAGTTTTACCTGATTTGGGACTTTATGTAAGTGGAACCATGTATTTGGTATCTCTCAATATCATATTTAGATAATTGCCCACCTTGTTGCATGTGGTTCTAGTTCTTCCATTTTTGTTGCTATATAATATTCCATCATGGGCATATGCCACCATTTATGCATTTTATTTTTAAAATATGTTTTTATTGATTTTAGGGAGAGAGAGAGAAACATCATCAGCTGCCTCCTGCACACTGCCTACTGGGGATTGAGCCCAAAACCTGGGCATGTGCCCTGACCAGGAATTGAACCGGGACCTCTCAGGCAATAAAACAACACTCAATCCACTGAGCCAAACCAGCCAGGCTGCATTTTATTTCTGATAGACATTTTGGTTGTTTGTCAGTGGTAAAATGGCACCAGAATGTTACCATACCTCAGTTCAGCAACTGAGTACTTGATTTCTTGGGGGGGGGGGGGGGGGGGCGGGGAAGGATTCAGAGCCAAGGAACTCAAATTATAAGAGAAAGTTTATATTTAAGAAGTCACAGAGGTAGCCATTTGATCCCACTTCTAGGAATATACCCTAAGAAACCTGAAACACCAATCAGAAAGAATATGTGTACCCCTATGTTCATAGCAGCATTATTTACAATAGCTAAGATCTGGAAACAACCCAAGTGTTCATCGGTAAATGAGTGGATTAAAAAGCTGTGGTACATGTACACAATGGAATACTGTGCAGCTGTAAGAAAGAAAGATCTCTTATCCTTTGAGATGGCATGGAAAGACCTGAAAAGTATGATGCTAAGCGAAACAAGCCAAGCAGAGAAAGACAAATATCACATGATCTCACTTAATTTGTGGAATATAATGAAATAAACTGCTGAACAAAATTAACCCAGAGACAAGGAGGTGGGGTACAGGTGACAAGCCTCAGAGGAGAGGGGTGTTTGCGGGGAAAGAGATAAACCACAGAACTTACATGCATGTATGCATGACCAATGAACATAGACAACAAAGTTGGGGATGGGGCAAGGGGGACGGGGAGGAGGGTGTCAATGGGGGAAAAATGAGAAACATCTGTAACAAAAACAAATTAATAAATAAAAAAATTTTCAAAAATTAAAGACATTAAAGGAATACCTTAAAAAAAAAAAAAAAAAAAGAGTCACAGAGGTAGTGCCTGGCTGGTGTGGTTCAGTGGATTGAGCATCGTCTCATGGACTGAGAAGTCCGGGTTCAATTCCTGGTCAGGGCACATGCCCAGGTTACGGGCTCAATCCCCAGTGAGGTGCATGCAGGAAGCAGCCAGTCGATGTCTCTATCACACATCAATGTTTCTTTCTGTCTCTCTCTAAAAAATCATTAAAAAAAAAAACAAAAAAAAAACGTCACAGAGGTAGAAAAGGTGAGCCAGCTGGTATGTTTGGGCTCAGGAACCAATTACAGAGGCAAAAGAAGGGCCCTTGGAGCTTAGGAAAAAGAAAGGCAGAAAGAACAGACCTGGGGGAAGGAGTGCGGGAAAGGTTTGGGGAGCTCCAAAGAGAGAGCGTGAGCCCCTGGGAAAGAACTGGATGAGGAAAGGCATGAGCGTTCAAAAGAGAGAAAGAGGGGACTGGGTCTTTCATCTTGAGAGTTTTTGTCTGGAGGTCTCAGGAGGATCTCAGTAGAATACTCATCAGCTTTCCAGGTGCGTCTCCTCAGGGTCATGGTCTCCACTGATTGATTGGTCAGCACCAGATCATAAGTCATCAAAACTGGTCAACCATGGCATTGGCCGGCCTGCCCTTGCTGCTTTTCTGGGCCTTGAGCTTCTGAAACACAACTAAGGCTTAGATGTTATCTCAAGTTTGACCAAAACACTATCTCTGTGGTCAACAGACCCTAGACTTTGGTCTTAAGATTATTTGACGTGGGCCAGAATTGCATTGTCCTGATTTAATACTTAAGGGAGTGATCTTGCAAGCGCTTGAATGGAAATCCTATGAGGCTATTTTCCAGCCCCCTTTTTCCTCCTCTAAGGGGGTCTACCACCTGACTAGGGACATGTCAGGAAGGAAAGGTCAGCGGAGGGTCTGAACTGCATGACCAGCAATGTGAAAGGTTAGGGGGTCTAAACTGCATGACGAGTGCATGATGTGCTAAGGGAGGAAAAGTCACCCTGTGGGGAGGTCCCATATTACAATTACCCATTGCTAGGCCCTGGGGCTTTCTGTCCTGGTGACCTTCCACGCCTGGCCTATTGTTCCTACTCTGCTTATGTCTATCTAACTGCCTACTATATCAGTTTCCAGTTTGGGAGCCAGTTTGACTAAAGCAACAATGAACTTCTTGTGCACTATCCAGGTCTAGGAGTGGAGTTGCTGAATTGTAGGGTGTGAATATTCACACCTTTCCTAAATAATGGTAAACTGGTTTCCTTTGATGATTAGAAGCTGCTCTTCATCCTTGCTCCTAGCCGACCTGATCAGACAGTTAATGTTGCCTCTCCGGTGGGTGGGCAGGGACTCTCTGTGGCTTTGTGCACGCCCTGCTCAGGATGAGACTGAACACTGTTTCATATGCTTATTGATATTTTTAATTGAATTTATTGGGGTGACATTGGTTAATAAAAGTATATAGGCTTCAGCTGTACAATTCTATAATACATCATCTTTGTATTGTGTTCACCACCCCAAGTCAAGTCTCCTTTCTTCACCATTTATCCCTCCATACCCTCATCTACCTCCCCCACTTATTGATATTTTTAATTTCCTTGTGTGAAGTTTCTGTGCCACTGTTTTGCCTCGTTTTTCCTACTGTGGTGTATTATCCACTCAACTAACCAACCCTCTGAAGGTCATCATGCAGGGGATATAGGGATGTATAACACACGTTCCCTGCCCGGAGGAGAAGACTTTACAGCTCTAAAGGCAGATATGTAAACAAGTAATTCATAAGATTGTGATGAATGTTAAAGATCAGTCTTCCCCATCAGACTGACTGTTAGCTGGAGGATGGGGGCTGTTATACATGACATGTCCTCAGTATTTAACAGATATCTGGCACATGTTAGGTGCTTAGTAAAGTGTCAAATGATTGAATGGCACATTTTCTGAGGATGGTGAAAGTGTTCCAGTTGGGTAAGTGCAGAGTGACAGAGAAACACAAAATGAGGAACCACAAATTGCACCCATTCCTCCAACCCAGAGTAGGGAAAGGCTCCCTAGGAGGCAATATTTGAAGCAGATCTTGAAATACCCACCGGAAGCAGTGAAGGAAGTACATTCTAAGCCAAGGAATAGAATGTGTAAAGACACAGAAGTGAGAACACAGCCTATGCAAAATGTGAAATCTGGGGTGACTGACAGTGGAGAAAGGGCATATGTAGAGGAACTGCCTTGTAAATCTCAAACGCAGAGGGAATAAAATTAAACACAGAAAAAGAAAATTTTCACAGGTGAGGGTTTGTTGAGCACTAGAATTGATCTATAGAATCTTGAACAAAATAGAGCAGATACATAAGCATGATGGTGAAATCAACTGAATTTTTTTCCCTCCAGATAACACAAGTGATCTTTTGGAAAGTCATGATGTAACTTGAGCAAGTGTAATGATGATGAGTTTTCCACAGTCAGACCTGGAAAGCCTCATTTTCCACCTCTGTCATTTGGGAATCATGCCTACCTGGTAAAGCTGTTGTGAAGATTAAGGGGATTTGCATATAGAGGACTCTGGCTTGGATAAATAAATAAATAAATGGTGGCTGCTGGAAGGTATTATGATGTAGAACCTAAATTGTTCAGTTGTCCAGCATTTTAGTGGCCATTATGGGTTCATGTCTGTTTATAATATTAAAGGAATGTTAGTAAATAGTGCAGAGTGGGGACGTGAACCATTTCAAGAGACACCCCCACCCCCACCGCTTTCCACATTAGAGACTCGAGGTCGTTAGTGCCGTTAGTGCCGAACCTGGGTGACCGAGGTTAGAGCTAAGGCCATTTCTCCAGTGCTGGGCTTCCTGGTGTGTCTTAGTTTTCCTTTGCTTTATCCCTTGTATTCCTGAGAGGGCTGGTTAGGGGCATTATGAGCTCAGTATTTACAGCTGTTTTCCTAAAGAAAGAGCATCCTGCCCAGCTCTCCTGCAAAGAGATACTAGAGCTGTAATTAGCATGAAGCCAGGAAGCTCTTGTAAGCTGTGCTCAAGCCCCACCCCTCGACCAAACTTTCCAAAGGGGCCGTCCTTCCTGAGAAACGAAAGTGAAATTGAACGGAGCCTTCACAGCCCCGCAAGCGCAGCCTGGGCCTGGAGTGTTTCCTGTGGGGACTCCACCGACGCCCCCTGTGTCTGCGAAGCCGGGAGCAGCGGCCTGGCCCCTGGAAGTCAACAGCCACCTCGGGGAGGGTCTCACCAGGGAGAGGGTAATGTGAATGTCGAGCTGCCTGGACATGCCTTCGGGGGCGTGATGGACCCGAGGCAGGTAAGCGTAGGCCACCGGAACTCGCGTGCCTCGACCCACCTCACATGCGCTCCTGTTTCAGTCCGTGACATGGTGCGCTTGTGTGTGTGTGTGTGTGTGTGTGTTTCCTTAACAAGCAGAGTTGCTGTTCTAGTACTTCGTATTATACTAATTCTGTAGCCTTGAACAATACCGGTAAGGGCTTGTGGAGGGAATGGACCCCCATGTGAGGAGCAAGGCCTGAGCCCAGGTTAAGGCAAAGCCCTCTCTCCCTTTATGCTTGGACTCCGATACTCGCCCCCACCCCTCCTTTAGCCCCACTTGGACAACGTGCATTGTGTCCCCTCTGTGCACCCTATGCACTTCCTGAGGGCATTTGGGAAATGAAAAATCACCCTTCTCAACCCGTAGGAGAATGTTTATCGCAGCTTTATTCATGATAGCTAAAAACTGGAAAAACCCAAATGTTCTTACACAGGTGACGAGATAAACAAAAGGAGACATCCGTGTGATGGACTGCTGTTTGGTGGAACAGTATGGGTGAATCTCCAGTGGATTATGCTAAGCAAAAGACTGCATACTCCGCGTCCCTTTAGCTTTATTCTGAAAAAACAATAAAGATAAAAGGACAGAAAAAAGAGGTGGTTGCCAGGGCTGGATGTGGGTGGAAAGAGTTGACTGCAAAGTACATGAAAATGTTTTTGGGAAATGGAAATATTCTATATCTTGATCGTAGTTGTAGTTTTAAGGTTATATGTGCTTTGACTCTACGTAGTCAAAACTCAGAATTATACACCAAAAACGGTAAGTTTTACTGAATGTAAATTTACCTCCATTTAAAAATATATGTGTGTGTGTGTGTATGTATTATATATATATACACATATATATACACATGTATATACATTCTTTTAAAGAAGGGAGAGAGATATACAGGGGTGGGCAAAAGTAGGTTTGTACAGTTGTGAGTATATGAAACAGTTTATTTTTTTTCCCTTTCAGAGTTTATTCTTGTATTACTATTTATTAATTATATTATGTATTTGTACTATAACTGTAAACCTATTTTTGCCCACCTCGTAGTATGTATGTGTTTATATACATTCACATACAGGCATATATATCTCCTTTAAAAGAATATATATGTACATGTACATATATATTTATGTATTTTATAGAGAAAGTCAAAGCACATAGCCTTATAACTACAACCATGATCATGTATATACACACATACACATATATTTTTCCTTCTCTTTTTTTTGTTTTTGTTTTATTGTTTGTTTATATCTCTCTTCTTTAAAAGAATTAGGGGGCCCTGGCCAGTTTGGCTCAGTGGTTGGAGCATCGGCCTGCGGACCAGAGAGTCCCTGGTTCGGTTCCCCCTAGGGACAAGTACCAAAAATAAAATAAAATAAAATAAAATAAAATAAAATAAAATAAAATAAAATAATTCGGGGCACCTGACTTAAAGGGAAAGCAATTTTTCACCTATGTCAATATATTACTCTTTGGAGCCTATGTGGTAAAAGTGGGGGCTCATCTCTTGATCCTAATATATTGAGACTAGATTGAAGTGCAGTTTTGTAGGGCAGTGAATGTCCAATGGCTTGTTACAGAGTTTTCATCATAAATAAACATGAGTTGGGCGAGTGGAGATGTGGAGGGATTTAGGAATGATTGCCATGAGTTGGTTTCCCACTTTCTTGCTCTCACGTCCATTCATTGGTTCTTCAAATTGCTATTTTCAAGTGGTGTTTTGGCTTTGGCTTTCAGGGGACTTTGGCGGTGGGGGGGGTGGGGGGGTAATAGTTTCTTTCTAATCTTTTCCTAAAATAACAATTGTTAACAAATTTATGTATCCTTTCCTTCTTTCCTCTGTGTTCATTCTAGTGTGTATACACACACACACACACACACACACACATTCATGGGGTTTTTCTTTTGTTTACAAAAAGGGGAATTATCACATACATGTGCCTCTACAGCTTTCTTTTTTGTTTAATAATTGGTTTTCTTTTTATCGATTTTAGAGAGAGCGGAAGTGAGAAGGGGAGAGAGAGATGGAAACATCGATGAGAGAGATCATCGATTGGCTGCCTCTTGCATGCTCTCCACTGGGGATCAGGCCCACACCTGGGCATGTGTTCTGACCAGGAATCGTATCGGTGACCTCTTGGGGCATGGGTTGACGCTCAACCAGGAGTCACACCTGCCAGACTGCAGCTTTCTTTTTTAAAAATAATTTTTCCTTATTGATTTTAGAGAGGAAGGAAGAGGGAGAGAGATAGAGACATCAATTGGCCACCTCTTGTGTGCCCCCCTCTGGAGATTGGACCCACAACCTGGGCATGTATCCCAACAGGGAATCGAACTGGCGATCTCTTGGTGCGTGGGTTGCTGTTCAACCACTAAGCCACACTGGCCAGGCTGCAACTTGCTTTTTGTTTTGTTTTTTTTCTCTTTTTATTTTTTATTCATTTATTTTTGTTACAGATGTTTCTCCTTTTTCCCCCATTGACACCCTCCTCCCAATCCCCCACCCCCACCCATGGCATTATTGTCTATGTCCATTGATTATGCATACATGCATATAAGTTCTTTGGTTTATGTCCTCTGAGGTTTGTCAGTCTGTACCCCACTTCCATATCTCTGGGTTTATTTTGTTCATCAGCTTATTTTGTTCATTATATTCCGTAAATAAGTGAGATCATGTGGTATTTGTCTTTCTCTGATTGGCTTATTTCGCTTAGCATAATACTCTCCAGGTCCCTCCATGTCATCTCAAAGGACAAGAGATCTTTCTTACAGTGCAACTAGCTTTTTGTGTTGTTTAATTTAACATTATGTCATTCCTAAATTTTCTCCAGGTGAATACAGATTGTTCACAACACTTTTTTTTTTAACTGTTAGTACTCTTCCATAGCATGAATGTGTCGTGATTTATTCTACTCTTCTTATGTAGATGGACATTCAAATGTTTTGTGGGTTTTGGCCAAGTAGAAGCTTTTTTTTATATATACAGTGATACCTCGGTTCTCGAACATAATTCGTTCCAGGAGGACGGTCGAGAACCGAATTGTTCGAGAACCGAAGCAATGAAACCAATAGGAAAGCATGACTCCACAAAGCGTGACTCTCTCTCTGCACTCACACTGATGACGCAAGCAAGGCGTGCTGGGCCGAATGAACGCCATTCGGCTCAACTCGGCTCATCTCGGAAGTTCGAGTTCCAAATATTTGTTCGGATTCCGAGACAAAAGTTTCTCGAATCCCGATTTGGTCGAAAACCGAGGCGTTCGAGAACCGAGGTATCACTGTATATATTTGTTTATTGATTTTTAGACAGAGAGGAAGGGAGAGGGAGAGACAGAAATATTGATGAGAGAGACACATCAGTTGGCTCCCTCCTGCACACCCCCAATGGGGATTGATCCCACAAACCAGACATGTGCCCTGACTGAGAATCAAACCAGCAACCTCTTGGTCCATGAGTCCACGCTCAACCACTGAGCCACACCGGCTGGACCAAGGAGAAGCAGTTTAAATCTGGAAAGCATTTAGCTGGGAACTGACTTTAGCCACTTTGAAACAATTCTTTACCAAGGTCACTCGAACTAAACAGAAAAGCGCTGAAATTCCCATAATTCAGCTTCATGAGCCAAACTCCCACTCTGTACGCACAGCGCGGCCCCCAGCAGTGTGGTGGGGGAAGGGGTTAGGTGCAGCAGGAGGAGTAGAAGGGATTGTGTGTCTAGGGATGTCTTGTTTATGCAGTCATTTGTTCCACAAGTGTTTCGGAATCAACTTTGTGCCAGGTGTTGTCTTAGACACAGAGATCAGAAATAACAGAAGCACAGTTCTTGTCCCCCAGGAGCTTACCATGGAGTCGACTGCAGACCCCCAGCAGTACTAATGGGCAATATCGGAAGTGGAGAGTTAAGTATAATTTCTAGGATACCTCATATTGTTACTCACCTTTCAGATACCCTACAATCTGTGTGTGCCATTACAAAAACCACTAGCTATGATCAAAGGTAAAGCAAGTAGTGTAACAGGTGCCGAGAGGGAATTCAAAGACTAGGGAGGTGGGAGTTGGAAGAAGACTCCTGGAGAATGGCATTTAAGGAGCTCTGTAAGGAGCCCCGGCCGGTTTTCCCAGTGGTTAGAGTGTCCGCCCAAGAACTGGAGAGTCCCAGGTGCGGTTTCCCCTGAGGGCACATACCTTGGTTGCAGTTTGTCTGGGGCCCCGGTTGGGGTTATGTGGTTGGCAACCAGTCAATGTATCTCTCTCACATCGATGTTTCTCTCTCTGTCTTCCCCCCCCCTCCTTCCTGCTCTATCTGAAGATAAATGCAAAATGTCCTTGGGTGAGGATAAAAATAATAATAATAATAAGGAGATCTGTAAGGAAAGGTTGGACTTGTAATAGGTGGCACTAGAGGGAGAAGCAGGCCCATTGGATTGGGATGTAGAGGGATGGAAAGATTAGAGGCTCTTGTCTTATGTAGCCCAGGTAAGAGGTAAGGGGCTGAAACCGTAAATGACATGTTTCTGTTGAGGGAGTGGATGAAATCAACCTGGGAAAGGAAGAAAAGACCCTTAAACAAAACCTTGGGGACTAATTCTGTGTAAGGGATAGAAGAAAGGGACAGGAACAGACAGACGGAAAGAGGTGAGAGGAGACCTTTGGTGCTGTGTCACCAAACCGTGGGAGGAGACTTTTTAAAGAACAGCACTCAGTCCACAGTGAACCAATGTCGAACTGAACTGATAACCAGACAGCAGTGAAAACCCAACTGAAGTTTGAGAGGAGGAATGTATATGGCCCCATTAATTAGCAAGAGTCATACCCTTCTCCAGTACGATGCGGAGCCTTTGGAACAGAAAAAGGGGACAGGGGCCTTGGGTGGAGAAGGGAACAGACCGTGACATCCAGGCTGAATGAGGAGGTGTGTGAAACCAGAATGGCTGACTCACTACAGTGGGGTCAGATAAGGAGGTAGAGGAAGTTGTACAAACAAGGAAGTTGCTGTCAGGAAAAAGCAGGGTTCAGCAAGTGTAGCCTATTTTGTAAATGTTTTGTTCCCCAACTCAAGGGGTTGACTGTTTGAAGCAGTCTCTTTAGAAGTGGTTGTCACAAGGTAGTTACTTGCAGCAGGTAGAGGAGACCAGATTCGTATCCAAAGCTCTGCCTCCCCAAAGGGAGACTTAGCCATTGCTGATAGACACTGTTTGGTCAATTACATGTTAAGTTTTTCTTTGCAGTTGGCTGCTTTCATCCCAGTTGAGTTCCTGTCAACTCCTCCTGTTTACAGTTGTAGCTGAAAAATACTATCCTACATTTTAACATTTAGCAAGAAATAACTTTGAGAACTTCCTGGACCTTGAGACCCTTGTTCTACCTAACAGTTTTCATATTGTGTGTGGCTGCCTTTGTGCTACAATTGAAGACTCGTCTGGCCCTTTCCAGAAAAAGTCTCCTGTCCTCTGGAAAAGAGTTTCCGGGTTTGAGGTTTGGTGGTGGCCCCAGCCACAGTAACAGTGAAAATGAGTGGGAAGCTAGACAACCCACTCATGTGGCTGACAGGTCGAAGTGGTGGTGGTCATTCAGGAACTCCGCAGCCAGTGTACCATGAGCAGGATTAGCAAGAGTGCCAAATCCCCTAATTGTATCAGGAGATGTGGGGAGGTAGAAGGCTGAAGTCATTGAAAATGGGTGCAGCTGCCTGCAGGTCCCTGGAGCCTTCAGGAGCATCAGACAAGGGGGACAAGCATGAGGAAACTGATCCTAGCTGTTGCGCGCGCATGCGTACGTCTGCAAGCCCCAGAAGACGGTAGCAGAGTATTTTCTGGCAGCCCCACCCTGAGTCTCCTAAGTACCTCCTGCCTCTACCCCCACCAGGGAGAGTGGATGAGCACTGGCCTGTTGGGTGTTCTGATAAATGTATGGCACTTTCTGAGGACATGGTGTAGCTGTGCCCTGTAGGACTGGGTTCTGAAGGACCCAGGAGGGAAGCATCTGTGGGAACGGAGCTAAGGGAGTGTGGGTAGGTTGGGCTGAAGTGTTCAGGAATAGATCCACTCATCCAGGTGAGCCCGAGTGGTTTGTCAGAAGTGCCCAGTGACCCTTCCAACCCTGACCACCACACTGAGTAGGAGAACAATGTGTCTTTTTTCTAAGGAATCTTCCAGCTGCCCTGAAACCAAATTCTGGCAGTGACAAGCAGATAAACCTGTGTGTTTCCTGCTGCCACTGGTGGATGGGGAGCTTCCGCAGTCACAGCCTCGGAGCACTGGGCCTTCACTTATTTTTTGTAATATTCCAGTGAATAGATTTTAGTGACAAGGGGTCTGTGCTGCAGTCCATTCCCTGGGCCCCTGGCTCCCTTTGCATATTGTCTGTTTTAGTTTCTTTTTAAAAGAAAATACTTGTTTGTTTTTATTTTAAAAGATTAATTGTTTTTGCTGAGTGGGAAGATTCATTCTCAGCTCCCTAAAATTCTGCCAAAGGGTAGAGAATGCGTTAGGTTGCTGGAGAGGCCCTGCTGCTCCTGGGAGTTGGTGTGTTTCACCTCCTGCTCCTCTCTCACCTTTGGTGGGTCAACAGGCAGTGCTTACAAGGTGGGCAAGCCACCCTCGCTGGGTCCCCTTAGGTATCCGGTGCAGCACCCCCGCCCCCTCCCCCCAGCAGGGGGAAGGGCCAGGCTCAGCACTGCAGTCCTAATTTACATCCTTTTCCTTCTTGTTCCACAGGGGTGTTCCCTCAGCAGATACTACCCCAGTCCGTTCCGAGGCTATGAGCAGAGCAAGGTCAGACACCAGCAGCCAAGGCCAGCATCTTATCCTAATAGTTTCCAGCTTCAGCAAATCGAGTTTCTCAAGGGACAGCTCTCAGAAATACCCCTAATTGGAAAGCAGATACCATCACTGCCACCTGGATTCCTCCCTGGATTCTGGCCAAGGTTTCCCGGCCCACCTGTCAGAGACAGGCAACAGGAGATCTGGAGTTTCCCGAGGGGTGTGCCTCTCAGAAGTCAGGTGCTCCCGAGAAGGTTCCAGCCTCCGTCCCCACGTGGCAGGGTCCTGCCATGGAAAGGTGTGGATAGGCTTTCCTCGAGTTTCCAGGAACTGAGTATCAGCCAGGATCGGGAGCACAGGCAAAGGATCTTAGAGTTCTTGCAGGAGCTTGGCGAAGGGAAGGCCACCACAGCACATGATCTGGCTGGGAAGCTCCGCGCCCCAAAGAAGGAAATCAATCGCATTTTATACTCTCTGGAAAAGGAGGGTACGCTGCAGCGGGAGGCAGGGACGCCCCCTTGGTGGAGACTTGCAGTCTCAGCTCAGGCTTCGTACCAGCACAGCCAAGTAGCAGGGGCAGACAGCTGCAACCAGGACGCTCCAGACTCAGACCCCCGATTTGAAGCTGAAGGCAGAAACCCCACATCTGACTTGGAACATCCTCCTGAGCCTCTTGACATGGCTGAGATCAAGGAGGAAATCTGCAACTACCTGTTCAATGTGCCCAAGTCCTCGGCCCTGAATTTGGCTAAAAATATTGGACTCACGAGAGCCCGGGATGTCAATGCAGTGCTGATTGACTTGGAAAGGCAGGGGGACGTCTGCAAGCAAGGGCCAGCCCCTTCCGTGTGGTGTTTGACAGAGAAGAAGCGGGAGAGGATGCAGCTCAAGAACAGTGCCCTGGACACCACGCGAGCTGCTACCCCGGAGGCCAGAAGAAACGAGCTGCCCACCTGCGACTTACCCATGCCAGACGCCTCGAACAGCGTGACCACGGGGAAAGTGGAGAATGGGCAGGAACCGGTCATAAAATTAGAAAGTGGGCAAGACGTAACACCCAAACCAGTAAAACCAAAACCACCTGTTCTTGACAATGGCCCCTCAAAAACAGGGTATGTTGACTTTGAAAATGGCCAGTGGGCCACGGATGACATCCCAGATGACTTGAATAGTATCCATGCAGCCCCAGGTGAGTTTCGAGCCATCATGGAGATGCCCTCCTTCTACAGTCATGGCTTGCCACGGTGTTCACCCTACAAGAAACTGACCGAGTGCCAGCTGAAGAACCCCATCAGCGGGCTGTTAGAATACGCTCAGTTCGCTAGTCAGACCTGTGAGTTCAACCTCGTAGAGCAGAGTGGACCACCCCATGAACCTCGGTAAGAGACCCCAGGAACTGCACCTAGGGTTGGGGTCAGGCGCTCTCGCTCCTGACAGTCTCTGCTGACTCGTGAGCAGTGTGGTGTGGTGGCCCCTGTCTTTTCCCTCTTCCTTTCTGCCTTCTGGCTAAAGCACCCTTGTTGGCCCTTCCTCTGGCTCTTGAGCAGGGAATGTAGACCTCAGACCAGCCAGAATCTTGGCTGAGCAAGGGGGAGGTTGACTCTGTTGGCTAAAATGAAGCTTCTTTGGAGATGATTGGCTTTCATGCCAATGTCATGTCCACCTCCTAAGGCCAGAGGTCATGGAGACTTGACTCTCTTCCCACCCCTCTCACGTGCCGTTCCCCCTTTCCCTACACAGAGTTCCCCGGAGGGCACAGGAACAGGGGGTGGGGCAGGCCGCACCCACGGCCAGGGCCAGGGCGGGTTGTGCTGCAGCAGCAGTGGGTTCGAACCCACCCCCAGCCCTGTAGGGAAAGGACAGTGCAGAGCATGCGCGGCTGCCTGCCTCCCCAAGGTGGTGGTGCTAATTTTACACACCTCCTCTGCACAGACGGGTGGGCTAGCACTTGCTGCTGCTCCTAAGCTGTGAGATCGGCAATTACCTCACTCAGACAGCTGGCCAGGCGCCTGCAGCCAGCGGACAGGTTGAGGAAGGCAGGTGGGCCCAGAAGGAGCTGCGGAAGGGCCTAGCAGAGAGCTGAACCCCTAAACCTGAGTGGCTGTACACCCCAGCTAGTGAGGGTGGGAGAGATTAGCCTAGGCTGTTTTCTGAGGGTGAGCATTCCCAGCTTGACCTTTCCCCTTACCGAGACCGTCTTAACGACACGGAGATGGCACTGTGGGAGAGCTGCAAAGTGCAGGGCGTGAGTCTGTCCGGAAGCCGGCGGCCTACACCGGTTTGTTTCTGTTTGGAGTGGAGACTGGGTGGCTGTCCTCTCTCCTCCTCCTCCCTCCCCAGCGTGGGGGAAGCAGTGGGTCTTGTGGCTAACCTTTCTTTGGACTCCAGCTATAAGAAACATTGATGCCATGTTCAAATATTTCAGAAGACCTAGGAAATAAGAAATATGACCTACTTTTCTAAATGAAATCCCAGATTGAACAAAGAGCTGAACAAATTTGAAAGCTTGAACAAAGGAAGTCTAAGCTCAGTCCAGAGGCCTAGAACAAATGCTTTTTGGTTTTCTACATAACGGGGAAATTTCTTCCATCACAGGCTTCAGACAAATAGAGCTTTAGAGTGACTTAAATAAAAGAAACCATAAGAGTGGTGTGTCTCTGTGGATAGACTGGGGACAAAAACAGGCCCCGAGGAGTGACAGGTGTTCTGATCCCTGTAGGTGTCTGGGGAGTGGGAGACGGCACGAAGAGCCCTCACTTGCTCTAGAAACTGCCCCTGAGGTGGCCAGTCTAGCACAGTTGCTTTAGGGTGAAGGCTTTTTGGTTGCTAACAAGACTGTAATGGTGATATTTTTATACGGACTTTATCTCAGTTCATTGCTGGGAGATAGTGGGTTTCCCCTGAGCTAGTTTCATATCACCTGTGGCTATGTTTGCTCTAATGAGCTGCTTTAGAGTCATTGGCTGCTTTGTTTCCAAAAAGCAGGGACAGGCTGAGCCTCCAAGGGGACAAGAGTCCCCTACCCTCCATTTCCTCCGCAAGTCAAAAAGCTCCTTTAGTGTAGCAGGAATTCCAGGGTGAAGATCTCTTTGGAGAGGGCAGAAGGGAGGCCTAGACTAGTGTTCACACATCTAATCACTTTCCATCAAGATTTAAATTCCAAGTTGTCATCAGTGGCCGAGAGTTTCCCCCAGCTGAAGCTGGCAGCAAGAAAGTGGCCAAGCAGGATGCAGCTATGAAAGCCATGACAATTCTGCTTGAGGAAGCTAAAGCCAAGGACAGTGGAAGACCAGAAGAAGCATACTACTGTTCCCTAGAGAAAGAATCCGAGAAGGTAGGTGCCCTGCCCTCTGGGAGGGTCTCGGCTACTTTCCATGTCAGTGAAGGATCAGGACTCGAACTGGCCCTCTAGAAATACTCTCGGCCTAACAGCTGATTCTGTGTCTCAGAGTCAGCTGCCTGCCGTTCCCCCCACCCCCTCACCCCACCACCACCACCACCTACCTTACTTTCTCATACCCAGCTCCCCTTCGAGCCCCTCCCACCAAGTAGGATTACGGATTTCAGAGTTGAAAGAGACATTAAAGATGATCAAATCCAGAACATTTGAATAACTCACCCTTTCCTGTAATGCTTAGGAAATCCCCACAACCCTCTTCTTTTGGAAAGCCGCCAGCCTTTACTGTGTAGTTGACCAAAAGAAGTTCCCCAGCCCCGTTTCCTCTGCTACGATGGACTAGCCAATGTTTTCTTACTATTTTTGGTGTGTGTGTTTTTTTTGTTTTTTGTTTTGCCTTGTCTCTCATTTTCTGCAGACTGCAGAGTCCCAGTCCACCACCCCTTCAGCAACTTCCTTCTTTTCTGGAAAGAACCCCGTCACTACATTGCTTGAGTGTGTGCACAAGTTGGGGAGCTCCTGTGAATTCCGCCTCCTATCCAGAGAAGGCCCTGCCCATGACCCCAAGTACATCTCTTGTATCATGTATCTCTGCTGAGGTTTTCTCAAAAAAGAGAGAGATACAGTTCCTCCTTGCCTCCTCAGAGATGGCAGATTATTTCACAGAGCAATCACTCCTGTTTTCAGTGTGGAAGATGGGGGGCCTTGAGGGCATGGTTGCTGCTTGTGGAGCAGAGAATCTGGGACTAGGAATTCAAAGGGCGAAGCAGGGACCAAGCACTAGGGAGCTACACGGCTAGGAGGTTACTGGTGGTGGGACAAAACGGTACAAGACCTGGGCGTACCCGGCAAGCTCTGCTCTGAGACTCTGCAGACTTACCTGTCAAGAGAGGGTCCCTGGAGGAGGTGAAACTAGGCTGATGCTTAAATGTTGAGCAGGGGCAGCCAGGCCGAGAGAGCCCAGGGGCAGGAGGAGGGAGAAAGGCACCAGCTCTTCAAGGCAGAAGTGACTGCAGGGTCCGAGGCGCAGAGGTGATGTGTGCCAGGAAAGCCCGAGCCCTAAGGGGTGACGACCTGACAAAGGCTAGGTAAGTCTCTCCAGTCAGAACCAGTTTAATTCTCCTTTCATCTCCTGCCAGGTTCCAGTACTGTGTTGCAATGGGACCCCATACTTTCCCCACTGTAAGTGCCCCCAGCAAGAAAGTGGCAAAGCAGATGGCAGCCGAGGAAGCCATGAAGGCCCTGCACGGGGAGGCGACTAACTCGACACCCGATAACCAGGTGGGGTCATTTCCTACTCAGAAGATACAGGTCAGGCCTGGCCAGTGTGGCTCAGTGGATGGAGCATCGGCCCGCACACTGAAGGGTCAGGGGTTCAGTTACTAGTCAGGAGCACATACCTGGGCTGTAGGTTCAATCCCAGCCCCAGTCTGGGCATGTGGAGGAGGACACCAACCAATGTGTCTCACATTGATGTCTGTCCCCGCCTCCCCCATCTTTCCCTCACCCTCCCATCCTCTTCCTCCCTCTCTCCCTCCCTCGCTCTCCCTCCCTTCCTCCTTCCCTCCCTCACACTCTCCCTCAGGTGAAGATTAACAACAACAAAAAAAGATACAGATCATTTCTAGCAGCAGGATGGCTGAGGACTGCCCGTGAGTCCCTCAGAGTTTCCTTAAGTGTTTATGGTTCCCCTTTGTGGCTACTTCTCTTTCAGCCTGGAAGTACCCACACAGAATCATTCGATACCTTGGAATCTGTGATGCCCAACAAGGTCAGGAGGATTGGCGAGCTCGTCAGATATCTGAACACCAACCCGGTGGGCGGCCTGTTAGAGTACGCCCGCTCCCACGGCTTTGCTGCGGAGTTCAAGCTGGTTGACCAGTCCGGACCTCCTCACGAGCCCAAGTGAGTGTTCCCGGCCTGACCGCAGCTGTTGTCACAGTTGGGGACAGCCTCTAACCCAGGGGGAATAGGGGTGTGCATTGGCCGTGAAGGACAGGACGGGGGGCGAGTTGAAGGAAACAAGTCCAGCCCTGTCCCTTTGGCCCCCTAAAAGATAGCCATCTTGAGAACATAGTCACCTTTTCAGTGAGCATGACCCTTCTTAACTCTTTAACTAGTTTTAATTTTAAGGAAAGTCATTCAAGCTGATTCAAAAGTATGCAATGAAATGTCTCATTTCTATCTCAGACTTCTAGTTTCCCTCCCCAGACGCTCCTTACACTATTACCAATTTCAAGTCCTTCTAGAAATTTCCATGCATATATTATTAGCACATTTTCCTTTTTGTTTTAAACAAAAGTAAGTATTAACATATTCTGTGCCATGCCTTGACTCCTTTACCTACCAGCATGGCTTAGAGATCAGTACAAATCGACATGTGTAGGTCTGTCAAACTCTTGCACAGCTACATATTTCACTGGGTGGATGCTGTTATTAAACCAGATATGAAAGGTCTCTTCTAAAACAGGTACCCATGTGCCCTGGCCAGTTTGGCTCAGCGGTTGGAGCATTGGCCTGCGGTCCAGAGAGACCCAGGTTCGGTTCCCACTAAGGGCATGTACCTTGGTTGCAGTTTGTCCCCGGCCTTGGTTGGGTCGTGTGGGTGGCAACCACTCGATGTGTCCCTTTCACGTTGATGTTTCTCTCTCTCTCTCTCTTCCTCCCATTCTATCTGAACAAAGTATCAAAAAATGTCCTTGGGTGAGGATAAAAACAAATAAAAAAAAATTTAAATAAATAAATAAAACAGGTACCCATGTGTCTACCTAGTTTAAGAAAGAGAGTGTTGTTACTGTTGAAGCTCTCACCCTTACATAATGTATTTAACCAACTTTCAATGACATTTAGGTTGGTTTTGGTCTTACTGTTAAAAACACTTCTGCAGTAACTGCCCTGGTACTGTCTGTCTGTTTCTGTGTGCAGACATGTCTGTGGTATACATTTTCAGGAGTGGAATTTCTGGGCCATGGGTCATGTACCTTTTTTTTTTTCATCCTCACCCGAGGACATTTTTCTAATTTTTGTTCAGATAGAGTAGGAGGGGGAGAGAGAGAGACAAACATCGACGTGAAGGGGACACATGGAGTGGTCACCACCCGCACGACCCAACCAGGGCCGGGGACAAACTGCAACCGAGGTACGTGCCCTTAGCGGGAACCGAACCCGGGTCTCTCTGGACTGCAGGCCGACGCTCTAACCGCTGAGCCAAACCGGCCCAGGGCTCATGTACCTTTTTTTATATATGTAAGTAATAGACAATCCAAAATAAAATTATTCAAAAATAAAAAATATAAAAATGCACTTTCACACATTCTCCCTTTGGCCCAGCTCTCACCTCCACGCATACACACACCCCAGCACACCAACATGTAACTTTGTTATTATGTATCCTTTCATAGTATCTTTATGTAAATACAAGGAAGTATATTTCTTTTTTGTTACACAGAAGTGTGTATATATGCGCACACACACACACACACACACTGATCTCCAGTTGGCTTTTTACACCTAACAGTATTATCTTGGAGAGTTTCCATGTTACTTTGTATTCTTTGTATATAACTACAAAGTCCAGTGTTCCCGTGTAGCAGGTTTATCATGATTTTATTTAACCAGCCCCTATTGATAACTACTTGGATTGTTTCTAGACTTTTGCTATTATAAACAATGCTGCAATGAATAACATGTTTATGTACATTTAAAATGTTGAGAATATTGTCAAACTTTCCTTTATTGAGAATTATACCAGTTTATGCTTCCACCAATAATACAGAGTGGGGCAAAGTAGGTTTACAGTTGTGAGTACACAAAACAGAGTTTATTCTTGTATTATTACTTATTAATGAGTGTATTATTTCCATATGAACAACTGTAAATCTACTCTTGCTACACCCTATATAGAAGAATGGCTTTTCCCCTACACCATGACCAATGTGGTATTATTAACATTTTTATCTTTGCCATTTTAAAATGTGAAAAATGGCATGTCAGTGCAGTAAGAAGATTAGCTTACATTCAGATATTTATTATAATTTACCATATTAATAGATCATAGAAGAAAACCACATGTTCATCTCTAGAGATTCCAAAAAGGCATTTAGTAAAATTCAACATTTATGTAGATTTTCTTTAAAAATCTGTTAATAAACTAGGAATTATTGATTCCCTCCTTAACATAATAAAAATGCATGTTTGAAATCAAAAGCCAGCAGCTTACTTAATGTCGAACCTGGAACTGTTCCCTCTAAGGTCAGAAGGAGATGTGGATGCCAGTGTCATCATTATTTACTATTCTGCAATTACTAGCTGATGCAATTATTAGAGAAAATTAAGTATAAAGAGAGGAAAGGGGATGTAAAGTTTACATTGTGTAGAGATGATAGGATTGTGTCCTGACGGGAAATCGAACTGGTGACCTCTTGGTGCATGGGTTGATGCTCAGCCACTGAGCCACACCGGCCGGGCTGCATACCCCAGTTTATAACAGTTAACCTGGAGGGGCCAGAGGAGGCCCCTGGTCCTGTGTGACAGGATGCACTCAGCATGTGTTAGACCAGGGGGATGCTGCCCTTCATTTAGAACCGTCTCAGAGAGGAGAGGTGCACCGTCCCTCCAGCTGCTGGTTCACACCCTCCCCACTCCGTCTTTAACCTCACTCTTCGCGTGATAGGTTTAGTCCATTTTCTCTTTCTGTTCTGTAAAATCTATAAAGTCCTTTCTAGGACTTCAAATCAGTCGCTCATTCAGAACTTAAGAACCTACTGAGAACTAGAGTGAAGGCAGGAAGAGCGCCTGCCCCCGAGTGGACCGCAGGCACGGAATCGCGGCCAGTTGTGATGCAGGGAACGCAGGTGCTGTGGGGACACTGCACGCGTGACCAGTGTCTCCGGGGGTCGAGGAAGGCTGCGCAAGACGAAGGGAAATACTAACTTAGAAGCTGCATTTATTGAACATCTAATACAAAAACACACATTACTTTTTTCTTAATGTGAATCATGCTGAGTCCTCTTTTTTTTTCTTTCTCTCTACTCTTCTTGGCAACCTTCACTAATTATATGACTTTTAATATCAGAATGCTGGAGACCTTCTCAGAGCTCCAGACTCCTCTGTCCAGCTGCTTACTTACCACTTCCTGGATGGACATCTCTAATAGGACATGTCAGAAACAGAACTCTTGATTTTTGGTCCCTTAACCTCTTCTGCCCTGGGTCTTTCCTATCTCAGTAAATGACACCACTGTCCACCCTTAAATTCTGTTTATTATATTTGCAATTTCTACCCCAAAAGCCTCCCCTCTCTCCACCTCCTCTGTTACCCTCTAGGCTAAGCCAGTGTGTTCTCTCACATACCCATGGCAGTAGTCACCTGATCGCCCCACTTTATTTATTCATTCAACAAATACTTACCGAGCACATTTTATTTGTTAGTACAGGAGCCAGATAGTAATCAGTCACATAAAGAAATGTAAGAGCTCATGTGTGACATGTATTACAGAAGGCTCGCGTTGCATGATGCAGTGAGAATCTCCATGGCATGACTTGACTCCGCACGGAGAGGGGGGAGGGCTTCCCCGAGGTCTGAGGAAGATGAAGAGAGGGAGGTGGAGGGTTCTGGCTAAGGAGATGGTCACCTCCGGTGCTGTGGAGGAGAGCAGGCTGCTCGGGCTGCAGAAGGCCGTGTGGGTGGCACCAGGTGAGACCGGAGGGGTGGGGAGGCCCACAGGACCGTGGAAGCCCGTTATGTTTTTACCCGACAAGCAACGGAAAGCCAGAGAGGTTTGCAGGGAGGGACTGCCACTTGCCTCCACCCCCACTTTTGCTCTCTTCCCAGCATTTCTCCTACTATATTTTTGTACTAAATTTTCTTTCCTACTCTGAGAAAACCATTTCAGACCTTTGCCTCTCTCTTCAGATGTCCACCAAACTCCCTCTTTCTCACTCTACCCTGGTGACCTTCATTCACACTTAATTGAGAAAATAGCAATAATCACATGCCAGATACTTGACCTTGCCATCAGCAGATGCACCTCCCAGCCTGCCCTGTCCTCTGCGTCGCGTGCAGGAGGCCCCTCCCTCGCCCTGTACCTGGGCCCCCTCTCATCACCAGGCACTCCCTCTGTTGGGTCATTGCTGTCCTCCTGTAGACATGCCCATGCCCTCTTAGGGACCTTTTCTTGACCCCAGCATCTCTCTGCTGTCCTCACAGCCAAACCTTTCAAAAGAATTTATAGTCTTTGTCTTCACTTCCCTAATTCATTCCAGTGGAGCTTTTGTCTCCAGAATTCCACTGAAGAGGCTAACCACCAGCCATACGTGTTACTGAGTGTTTGAAATATGACTAGCGTGACTGAGGCACTGAATTATTCGTTGTATTGAATTTTAATTAAAATTAATAGCCTCTTGTGGCTAGTGGCCACTATATTGGACAGTGCAGCTCTAAAGGGTTCTAATTACATAGTCCACAAATTTTATCATAGATACATATATGATATATGTTCAAACACATGGAACAGTCATGAAATTCTCCAGGATCCATCTGTCAGACCCTACATGGTTAGCCCCACCCCCTCTCCAGTGTCTTTCAGTCCACTGTCCCTGTCCTTCACTGAACTTCAGCCCACTGCCCTGCACCCACCTGCCGGCATCAGCAAAATAAGGAGTGACAGAGGCATTCAGCGCTTAGGGTAAGCAAGGAGTAGCGACAGCTCCTTGTGGTTGCACGAGATCGATTCCTGTTACCACCTGCAGCTGGATGAGCCAAAGCAGGGTCCCCAACCAGAAGATTAGGATTGCCCCACTGGTGTGGCTCAGTGGATTGAGCATGGTCCCGTGCACTGAGAGGTCCCAGTTCGACTCCTAGTCGGGGCACATGCCTGTGCTGTGGGCTCGATCCCCACTAGGCAGTGTGCAGGAGGAAGCCAGTCGATGTTTCTCTCATCCGATGTTTCTCTCATCCGATGTTTCTCTCACATCAATGTTTCTCTCTCTCTGTCCCTTCCTCCCTCTGTCTAAAAAAATCAATAAAAAATATATTTAAAAAAAAATTAGAATCTGGTTGAAAGCTAGGATTCTTGAACCCTGATCTGGGAGATGCCCCGACCGTTTTGCTCCATCCTGCTCTTCCCTGTGTGTGTGTGAGATCCCCACCAGGAAGGGAGGGGCCCCCAGGCCCCCTGCAGTGCTGCCCACTCCCTGCTCTACTCAAGCCCCTTACAGTCAGCAGAGCTCACGTGCCCAAGTTACTCCCCAGTCCCCCATAGCCCTCCCAAGGTTTCCAGGAATCAAAAAATAACTCCTCATAGAAGTTTGGTTCTCTGGTCTAAGGCAGACCTTGACTTTCTGACGTCTCCAGGTTAAGTCCTCTTGAACTAATAAGGAAATGGTATCAGGTACTGAAAAAAATCAAGGCATTGTCTGGCCAATGTAGCTCAGTGGTTGAGCATCAACCCATGCACCAAGAGGTCACCTGTTCGATTCCCTGTAAGACACATGCCCAGGTTGTGGGCCCAGTCCCCAGTGGGGCCATGCAGGAGGCCACCAGTCGATGTTCTCTCTTATCAATGTTTCTCTCTCTCTCTCCCTCTCTCTCTAAAGTCAATACAGAAAAAATTTTTTTAAACAAATGTGTTTACATTTTAAATTAGTCCATTTAAAGAAAGATGTTACATAAGTAATAGTCCAGGTGATATCTGAGTCTAGCAAAACTCACGCCGTGGTCCGAGCACATCCGAGTCTGGGCATGCTACCCCAGGAGAGCTGTGAGAGCGACGGCTTATGCTGGCAGGACGGGCTGCTTCGCAGCAAAACTTGCCCTTTTCTGCAACTGCCACCAAGCTCAGGTGCTTGTCTTCATCCCCTGCTTTTCATCCCAAAGGTTTGTTTATCAAGCAAAAGTTGGGGGTCGCTGGTTCCCAGCCGTCTGCGCGCACAGCAAGAAGCAAGGCAAACAGGAGGCAGCGGACGCCGCTCTCCGCGTCCTGATTGGGGAGAACGAGAAGGCAGAGCGCATGGGTTTCACAGAGGTAACCCCAGTGACAGGGGCCAGTCTCAGAAGAACTATGCTCCTCCTCTCAAGGTCCCCAGAAGCACAGCCAAAGACAGTTAAGACGTCTACTTTTGTGCTATCTTTTTTTGGGGTCCAGCTAGCTCCTTTCTGGGTGGAGTTAGCTTTTAAGTTGCTATCATGTGAATTATTCCTGGGCTTTAATATTAGCCTCATAGAACATGGAACGGGGACACTAGGAGTGAGGGGAGAGGACAGTTCACAGCCGCGTGAACGCAGTCTCCCCGCCCACTCGGCACGGTGCCGCAGCCCAGCGCTGTGGCCCTGACACGGCCGCCTGTCCCGCAGCTCCCTCTCACCGGCAGCACCTTCCACGACCAGATAGCCATGCTGAGCCACCGGTGCTTCAACGCGCTCACCAACAGCTTCCAGCCCTCCTTGCTTGGCCGCAAGATCCTGGCTGCCATCATCATGAAGAAAGACTCTGATGACCTGGGGGTCGTGGTCAGCTTGGGGACAGGTCAGTGAGGTTCTGAGGCATGCTCCCCCACTCTTCCCCCACCACAGTGCCGGGAAGCATGTCCTTATCATTCTCTTCTGGAATTCCATGCGGGCGAGTTGAAGGTGGGGAAAAAAGATGCTGCTTGTATTTCAATCTAGCTAGTGAATTCAGAGTGGGGAGTGAAGTCTCATTTGCTAGGGAGGAGAGGAGGGAGTCAGGATCTGACCAACTGAGGCCATTTCTGCCTTCAAGCCTTAAGAACAAACAGCCTCGCCCTGGCCGGTTGCTCAGCGGTTAGCGTGTCAGCCTGAGGTTCAGAGAGACCTGGGTTCGGTTCCCGCTAAGGGCATGTACCTCGGTTGCAGTTTGTCCCCGGCCCTGGTTGGGTCGTGCGGGTGGCAACCACTCGATGTGTCCCTTTCACGTTAATGTTTCTGTCTCTCTCTCTCCCTCCCACTCTATCTGAACAAAATATGGAAAAATGTCTTCGGGTGAGGATTAAAAAAAAGAAAAGAACAAACAGCCTCTACCCTCTTCATCGTCACTTTCCTCTGGAAATTTCACATCGACTTTCGATGCCCTCCTAGGGAACCGCTGTGTGAAAGGAGACTCTCTGAGCCTAAAGGGAGAGACGGTCAATGACTGCCACGCGGAGATCATCTCCCGCAGGGGCTTCATCAGGTGAGCGGGGTCTGCGGGGGACAGCCGCCTCCACCCCACCAACCCCACCCGGCCCCCACCAGACTGCGGCTTGCTCACCGCAGCGTCAGCCGTTTAACCTCCGTGACCCAGGCTGCACCCACTTCTCAGCCTGCTGTTCGCTGCTCTCCCTTCTCTGCTAACTGCTTCGTGCCTTTTTAAAAAGCACAAATGACCTCTTGGTCCTCAGGGCTTTAGGGATGAGGAAGCCTTCCATCTGCCTTTGAGGATCCTTTTTTTTTTTTTTTCTTTATTGATTTTAGAGAGGAAGAGAGAGATCGAAACATCGATGAGAGAGAATATCGATTGGTTGCCTCCTGCACGCCCCCCACTGGGGATCGGGTCCACAACCTGGGCATGTGCCCTGACTGGGAATTCAGTTGGCGACCTCTTGGTGCAGGGTCGACGCTCACCCACTGAGCCACACCAGCCAGGCTGCCTTTGAGGATCTTTAAACAAGCCCCCTGGCCTGCCAGCTTTCTCTTCCAGTTCCTTACCTTAAACTGATGGAGAGACCCAGGGTGAAGCCACAGCCTCCTGTAGTCCCCGAATCCGTTTACCCTGCCCTAGAACTCCTGTAGCTGCCAGAGCAGGGAGCTCTTGGCAGAAATGAAATGGGCCCGAAAGGCTGACTTGGCTTGAAGAAATGCCGAGGCCCCCCATGGAGTTTCCCAGCGCCTCTCACCTGAGAAACCAGGAAAGGTCTGCAACATCAAGGCTTTTCCTTACCTGAGGTCCAATTGCAGAAGCCGCTGCTCTTCCCGGAATCAAAGCTGTCGTCTTAACCAGACTTTCGTCTTGTAGATTTCTCTACAGTGAGTTAATGAAGTACAACCCCCAGACTGCAAAGGATAGTATATTTGAGCCTGCTAAGGGAGGAGAAAAGCTCCAAATAAAGAAGACTGTGTCTTTCCACCTTTACATCAGGTCTGTACGGCCTCAGTTGCCACCTCGCTGGCCCTGCCAGGCTTCCCGGGCGGGTGTCTAATTGCTCTCCTAGTCCATAAATGAGCTTATTCGATGGGCCCCACTCAGCTCTGTACGCACCTGGCACGAGGCGACTCCCACGTACTCCTCTGCCCACCCCATGACAGGCTTGAAAGAAGTCCCTTGTTTTCCCCACATGGGACAGTGCCTGGGTCCAGGGAATGGGAGAGAAACATCTGCACAGGCGAGTTTAACAGCTGCCCCTGTTCTGCAGCACGGCCCCGTGTGGGGACGGGGCTCTCTTTGACAAGTCCTGCAGCGACCGTGCAGTGGAGAGCACAGACTCCCGCCACTACCCTGTGTTTGAGAATCCCAAACAAGGCAAGCTCCGCACCAAAGTAGAAAACGGTGAGTGACCCGGCCTCCCTCCCCCACAGGGCCAGGTTCCTCACAGGGACAAGGCACAGCTGCCAGGGTTTGCCGTTAGTTGCTGGGGTACAGGGGTCTTGTTTACAGGGAGAGGGAAAGTCTGGGTAGGGGAAATGTCTCTAGGAAGATCAAGATCGAATAGGAGGCAGAGGTAACCATCTAGAGCCCAGAGGCGAGAGCCTGGCTGGAAACAACAATGTGGGAGCCATCCTCCTATAGGTAATCCTTATAGCCATGGGAGTGGGCAGGGTCGCCTCGGGGAGGGTGGAGAAAATTAAGTGGTACAGAACCCAGCCCTGCGGAAGAGGCAGGAGGATGCCAAATGCCCTGTCCCTGTCGTCGGCTGCTGGTCCCACACGGTGTCTGCCAGCTCCCACCTCTGCTGGCCTCTGATGTCCTCACTGTCTCCCCACGACCACTCCTGTTCCCTCAGACACGACTCAGATCGTGTCACTTCCCAGCTCCAAACCCTCAGGTGGGAACCAGAGCTGCTCTTAGGTCGTTCTCGCCAAGAGCCTGGAGAACCGATGTCCACACACAACGTGCACAGAATTCACAGCGGCATTATGTGTTAGCGAAAAGTGGGACCAACCCAAATGCCCATCACCTGATAAATGGATAAACAAAAGGAGATAGATCCACATGATGGAATATTATTTGGCCATGAAAAGAAATGAAGTCCCGGTACATGCTACAACATGGGTGGGCCTTGAAAACGTATATAAATAAAAGAAACCAGTCATAAAAGATTACGTATGATACGATTCCATTATATGAAATGTCCAGAATAGGTAAATCTGTATAAATAGGAAGTAAAGTAATGGCTGCCTGGGGGCGGGAGGGTTGGGTGGGAAGGGGCAGGACTGCCAGGGTGGGAAGTTTCCTTTGAGGAGATGAAAGGCTTTCGAGTGGATCGGGATGACGTTCGCACAACTGTGGATACACTTTAAAAGTCATTGGGTTGTATGCTTTAAGTGGGCGAGTTCTCTCGGTAAAGCTGTTATTCAGAAAAAGGAAGAGCCGCCGCCCTGTGATGGTTTTCCGACACACCACAGAAAAGCCAAGCTCACATGCTTCATCGGCTCCCCGGACAGCCGGCCTGTCGCTGCGCCAGGGCCTCTGCTTCCACTGTTCTGTGTGAAATGCTCTTACAGCTGTTCCCTCTCCTTCCTGCCTCAGCTGCCCTGGCGGTTCTGTCTCAGAGGTTCCCTTCAGAGCCCTGTTACCACTGAGAACCCTTCGTGTGTGTTGCTTGATTGGTGCCCGTCCCGTTCCCCTTCTAGCCTCGCGCCTTCATAAATGTTCTAGGAGGATAAGGATCGTATTTGGTTTTGCTCCCCATGATTTCCCAGCACAAGCGTAGTGCCCAGCACATAGTAGATGGTGTGAAATACACGAAGAACAAGAGTGAGTAGCCAGTGGCCCAAGTCTGAGGTACAAACACCATGCCAGGGAGTGCTTGGCCCAGGGTGGGTCTGATGTGAGTCTCTCACACAGGGGAAGGCACAATCCCGGTGGAGTCCAGTGACATTGTGCCCACGTGGGATGGCATTCGGCTCGGGGAGAGACTCCGTACCATGTCCTGTAGTGACAAAATCCTACGCTGGAATGTGCTCGGCCTGCAAGGAGCGCTGTTGACCCACTTCCTGCAGCCCGTGTACCTCAAATCCGTCACGCTGGGTAAGGGACCTGTCTTGGGAGCCGAACCAGTCTGTCATTCTAGTGCCCAAATCTCAGCAAACTGCATGCTTCGTTGCCAGGTGTGAGCATGATGTCTCCACCTCGCAAAGAGTGTTTGGTTCAGTCAGTAATTGACTCTGAGCATCCAGTCTGTCATGACGGGAAGACGGTTTAGGCAGCAAGCCCAAGTAAAGGGCACGCCAGGCAGGTCTCCTCAAGATGAGTTAACGAAACACAGCAGCTTCAAACTGCAGTGTCTGCGTTTCCCCATCTCCACGGCCCTTCGCCTTATCTGGAACCTTAGACATTCTGCCTAAATGTTTGATGATCCCGTGTACATCCTAGGTAGCCGCAGTCAGAATGTTTCCTAATAAGGGAGCTGCTTCTCTGTCTTGAAAACTGTTTTGTATCCTGAGACATCCCTTCCCACCCACATGCCTCTGCCTCTTAACAGCATTTGGTGCAAACACAGGTGTGTACTTTTTTTTTTTCATACTCAGGTTACCTTTTCAGCCAAGGGCATCTGACTCGTGCCATTTGCTGCCGTGTGACAAGAGATGGGAGTGCATTTGAGGATGGACTACGACATCCCTTTATTGTCAACCACCCCAAGGTGCTATAACCCACCCATGTTTCCCTTGACATTTTTCTCCCTTTCAAGCAATCTGTTCACAGAGCAGAAAAGTACAGTGTGGTCAAGGGGAGCCTTAGTTGGGTCCCAAGAACTTACCCTTTTCTCCTTTTGGATGCCAACATCTTTTCTCCTTTTAGTCTGGAATTAATCTCGATGGAAGTGGGGTTGGTATGCCTAGTCTCCGCCAGACAGAACCCTGCCTGTGGGGGAGGTCACGAGCCCTCGCTTCCCTTTCCCTGTGACAGTCGAGTCCCTGCTTCAGAACCTTTTACCTGAGAAGTTTCCATTGTCTCCTGGTGCTCCTGGGACTCCTAGGTTGGCCGAGTCAGCGTATATGATTCCAAAAGGCAGTCCGGGAAGACGAAGGAGACGAGCGTCAACTGGTGTTTGGCCGACGGCTATGACCTGGAGATCCTGGATGGGACCAGGGGCACCGTGGACGGGTAAGGGGGAGACAGCAAGGACTCACCGACATCATGTTTGCCCATCTCCAGAACCTAAGGGCTACCCCCCTGCTGGTGTCCTCACCAGGGGCTCCCACCTTCTCTGGTCCTGGGTGAGTAATGAGTTCTTTTGTTTCTCCAGGCCACGGAATGAATTGTCCAGGGTCTCCAAAAAGAACATTTTTCTTCTGTTTAAGAAGCTGTGTTCCTTCCGGTACCGCAGGGATCTACTTAAACTCTCCTATGGTGAGGCCAAGAAAGCTGCCCGCGACTACGAGATAGCCAAGAACTACTTCAAAAAAAGCCTGAAAGACATGGGCTATGGGAACTGGATAAGCAAACCTCAGGAGGAAAAGAATTTTTACCTCTGCCCAGTATAGTGTGATCCAGTGGCTGGGGGTTGGGGTGTTTTACACTGGGGTGAGAGAGGGGTAGTCATAGCATTCCTCCGGTCCCGGGCTCTTTTTTCCCTTTTCTTTTCTTCTCTCTTCTTTTTAACGGAACCACAGTTGGTGACACTGAGACCTTGGGGTTCCTGTTTATCCTGCTCTCTGGGAATACCCGACCTCACCAGGCCCCTTCTCTCTTCTCAAGCAAAGAGGTCGAGACAGGGGAGTGGAGGGTTCTGCTCTCCACCAGTGCGGAGCCGCACCTGCACACCCGCCGTCCATCTCGAGATCTCTCTGCTCGGGGTGTCCGTTCCCTTCCCCTGTCGGCCACTCTGGCCTCCTGTGGTCGTGATTAGGTTCTAATCAACTCTGTGAATCATGTCAGGGACCGATGAAGATTTCATGTGTGGATTCTGCAAGCCCTTCTGCTTACCCTCTGCCCCTTCTGAGAGTCCTTCCTATAATCAAGTTTCTCATTTTCCTCCAAGAGGGTAAAGAGGTGAACGTAGAGAATTTGGAGAGAGACTTATAAGAGCAGGAGTTTGAAATGCAGTCAGTTGATGACTGGCGCCCAGTGTGATTGGAATCTGCAGATAGTGCTCAGTGATCTCAGATCTTGCACTTCAGCCAACTCAGGAGGAGCCAAGAGGCCCGGAAAGCTGCCTCCCTTCCCCAAGTGGCAGGGAAGGAGACAACCAGCCAGACACGGAGGGAATTGCAGCTGTGGTGCCCCCTGCAGGGGTGACGCGAGCCGTTCCTGGGGAGCACAGACATGCCCTGGACGGTGGCCAGCTCCCAGCTGCCCCCTCCTGACGCAGTCCTAGGAATGTGTCCTCCCAGTAGGGGTTAGGGCCTGGAGGGTGAAACGCCTCTGCTTAGATAAACAGGACTTAGCAGGAATCAGGCAAAAAGTGATGTTGGGTCAGATCACTGTTCTACCGGCATGTTTCTGACAGTTGATCAAGACATGGGTAAATTAGGAGTATTTGAAAGAATGCCATAAATGTTGAGTCTTAAATGCTCCAGATAACCTGTAATTGCCCAGATTTAAATTCAGACATAATTTTTCATTTACCCAAGTGCTTCTGCTTTGTCAGGTGACTTCTGAAGGTCATTCTTGGGTGGGTCACAGACCTGAGCTCTGCCTGCCTGTATGGAATCCACAGGGCTGATGTATGACAGCAGTTATAGGTGAAAGGGCAGGTTGTCCTCAAAGTCTATGAGGTGGAGCCCTTGGTCTGCACCTCAAGCTCACGAAGCTCGCGGTGAGAGCCATCAGCCTCTCTGAGGAGTCTGGCTCTGGGCCAACATCAGGCAGCCATGCTCCAGAGAAGCACAGAGGCCCCGCCACCCTGAGACCGGAGCTGGCCTCTCTAGAGAATCCCTCTATCTTGATCTGTTAACACGCTGAGCCGGCACCTCAAATGATTCCCCGCCTCTCCCAGCCTCGCACACAACTGACCCGTAAACTCTCATCTGTCCCACCTCTTCAACAATAGATACCCACAGTCACACTTTTATTCTTGTGGCTACTATTCCCCAAAATTGGCCAAATGAGAAAACCGAAGTTTTATTAATACACCAAGGATGTCGGCGGAACACCAGTGTCCCAAGGAGCTGCTGGGAAACCGCGCTGTCTTCCAGAGGGAGGTGCGTGCCTCACCCCGCCCTGTGAACCTCGGAGGCGGCTGACCTCCTGGTCCTTCAGGCTGGAGGTGTCATCCCTGGTTCCTCAGGACATCAGCCCCTCTGGTTCATCGCGGGCGCTGGAACCTCCTGCAGAGCTCAGACTTAGCGCTCGAACCAGGAGGACGGGGCTCTCAAAAGACCAGAGCCCCTGCTCACCCCAATCTTGTCTAGCAACCTGGTAGTGTTTGGTTTCTGCTGTAGGAAGAGGGCAAGGCACCCCTGAACCCCGCGTCTGCTGGAAACGAGCCTGTGTCAGGCCCTGTACGGCCGCACCCCCCATACCCCTGGGAGTCACACAGGACAGAGGAGGCAGAGCCCCCGCCTAGAGTATTCTCTTCACTTTCTTGTCCGATCTTTGTTTTTAATAAGCAGGACCCCCCCCCCTTTTTTTAAACAATCTTTGTAGTTGATTTGTCTGAACTGTGGCTATTGTGCATTCTTTGAATAATCACTTGTAAAAATTGTCGCCGCTTGAAGCTATTTCCTTTACTCACTTTGAAGGGACTGTGTTGGTTTTGGGGTCTTGGCAGTGACTCCAAGAGCAGAGTGAGGAAGAGCCCAAGCACGGACTTGGTGCCATGATGGCTGCAGTCAGTCTTTGATTCCGCTTTTATGTGTCGCTTGGTAACAGTGACTAACCTTATACATTCCTCCTAAATAAAAAAAGAAAGAAAGAGAGAGAATCTGAATTGGTAGAAAGCTTCAAGTCTTGGTTCTTGGTGGGGGAGAAGTGGGGACAGTTTCCGGCAGCAGCACCAGCTGCATCTGACACCTGGGGACAGGCCACCCCACCTGCAGAAAGGCGCCATTTCAATGCGCCTGCCCGGGAGGTGAGCTTGCGTCGGGCAGAGAGGTACATCAGGTACCCCCATCAGAGCTCGGCCTTAAATGTCTCGTTCCTAGGACTTGATAGGCAAGATTGCAAGGCCCAGGGTAGGAAAAGATTCCATGAGACAGTACCAGAGGACGCACAGAATTCCACCTCTCCTTGAGAGTGGTTTTACAGCTCCCTCCGCTCAACATCCCCCCCCCCCCCCAGGTGCTTTGCCTGCAGGGACGTGCATGTTTGGAGTCAAGTCGCCGACTGAATAGGACTGGCTCAGCTGCAGTCTCAGGAGACAGGACATTTGCTTTTTACTTTCTAGATGGCATCCAGAATATTTCTTCGTCTTGAATTTCAAAGAGAACGCACCACTTTGCACGTTGTAATTTAGTCCAGAATTTCTATAAAATTCATCCTTGACCTTTTAAAAATTATATACCAGAGGACACAAGGGCAAGGCTGTAAATCACAACGAAGCTGCCTTCCTCACCCATTGTGCAGACGCAAGAGCTGGGCCAGGAGGGCCGGTGACATGCCTGGGGCACGCTAAGGGCCAGAAGAACTGAGTCATTCAGCCTGTTGAAATGGTGCTGCTGGGTGAGCTGGACAGTTTTAAAGACAGGAAAGGACGGTGTGTCTGTTGCCATGATGTACCGGGAACCTGGAGCGCCTCTGTCCTGTCTGCAGGCAGCTCCTGTTCCACCGGGAGGGAGACGTACCCAGGTCTTTGAGGAAGTGGGTAGTTTCTTTCATGACTAAGGCTGGTGCCAGATGTGTCTGCAGAGGGAACAGGCTGTCCTCCCCCCCACCCCTGACGGGGCCAGGGGTACACTGCGTGCAGGACCACAGGAGTGTCTTCGTTGCTGTTCACCCTGCGTTTCACCTAGGAGGCCCACAACTGAATGCCATTCCCTGGATTTGGGCCCGTTTCACACCAGTGTCTGGGAGAAGCTCGCCTCCGCGCAGGCCACAGCTTCGGCTTCCCAGAGCTGAGCTGTGAGGGGCCCGCCACCCCTGCCTCCAGGAGATGGGTCCTCCCCGGAGTTGTTTCTGGGCTCTGTCTACTGCAGGCCCAGCCATTTGGTCATTTCATTTCCATCTAATGAAGGGACTTGTAACACATCACAATAATTGAACTGTTACCACTGACCTTTTCTCTTCAGGTTCTTCTAATGTCTTCGATGTCTAGTTTTCCCAGCATTCTGTGTTTCCCATATTTGCCAACCCGGCCCATGAGGGTCCTCCCCACCCCCCAGTATGAGACAAGACATATTTGGAAACAACTTGTCTTTACAAGCGTCTTGAGTTCCTAATGAGTCTGGCCTGGAGTGGGCTAGACCAGTGCAAATAGTCCAGGAACACAGACAAGGGAGGCCAACCAGGCCAGTGTAGGGGAGATGGACCCCAAGGGTGGATGAGTGAGGTGCCCTAACGGTCCCTAGACCTGCAGTCCCTTAGGGCCCATGTGGCTGTCACACTGACCTCTTGGACCTGTTGGGATGAATGATGGGGGGAAAGGAGGGACATCTATAATACTTCCAACAATAAAGATAAATATTTTTTAAAAGTTAAAAATAAAAAGGTGGCTGCTTGTCCTCTGTCTAGTCCGGTGGGTGAGCGGGAGGCTGGCCGGCAGCAGCTGGGCTGGGAGGGAGGCTGTGACGACCTCACTGCCTAGAAGCAGAGGGAGCCGCCGGACCCAGCCCACCTGGCCCGGGGAATGAGTTCCGACAAGGGCCGGAATGCCCCTCGCCTCCCTTCCCCCGGCTCCAGGCCCAGCACTGCTCGCCAGCCGCCACCTGGCCTCCCTGGGCCTGGTGTCTGTCAGCGGGCCCGTCCCGCAGGGTGGTTGTGAGGAATAGACGGTGAATGAAGCCCCCGACACAGAGCAGGCCCCCAGTAAACAGTAGCCAACACTGGAATCCGGAGGAGACCATGGGAGCCAGAGCTCCCCAAACCCCACAGAGCATCCCTGTCTCCTTGGAGGGAACCGGCTGCCTTCCCGGCCCCACAGACAGCCTTCCTCTGCAGAGAATGCCGGCTGGGGCTGCCCATGTCTTGTTTGCTCTCAAAGATTTCAGTAACTTGGTACCAGCTGTTCCGGAATCAGCTCCCTGGGGCCGGGAAGCCGCCTCCCTCCTGCTGCAGTGCCAGCTCTCCAAGGCAAGCGTCTCGCAGACGCTCTTTTCAGACGAAATGGCCATCCTGTCGCCTGTGGTCTTGCGGAGACCGTCCCAACTCATTTCCTCACTGCCCCTCCCAAGCCCCTCCCGCAGGTGCATCCAGTGTCTCCGCTTCCCTCTTCAGATCTGGGGCCTCCGGTCCTTGCCCAGTGCTGAGCTGGGTACCCAGTTCTTCCCAGAAACAGTCTCACCAAGGAAGGTGCAAGGTGCTGCCCAGACAACACCAAGGGGAGGACAGAGGACCTGAGAATGGAACATGCTGGTTCTCCAAAGCTTCCCAGGGCCCTGGAGGTTTCAAGCCCTGTACTGACATGTAGACCTGGCCCGTGCAGCGGTGCCCTTCTCCCTCCAGCTCCGCCCTCCCCTCCCTATGGGGGTGGTCCCCAAAGGGCTGAAGCCAGAGACGGAAGGAATGGCACTGCCCCAGGCACCCTGCCCTGTTCCCTTCATGTACATCGATGTGCAGCCCCCAGCCCACTCTGTCACCCCCATTTACAGGTGAGGATGAACAAATGCAGAGGAAGTTCTTGTGCAAGGACAGGCAGCACACAATCTCCAGGCCTCGGTTTTCTATGTGTCAGGTTGCGGAGAGGATTCAGAGAAGCCGCTCTCTAGGTCCCTGATCGCCCTCTGCTGACTGACTTGGACAACAGCCCCTGGGGACGTACTCAAAGCAAGTACAGCCAACAATAGTAGCTGATGGGGCCAGGAGCCCGGGAGAGCCAGCAGGGTGGGCCCCGGGCCAGCACCCTACCCTTCAGAGGGAGACACCAACTCTCCAGAGAGAGAGTTCCTTTCCAATTGCTGTTTCAGGTTCCAGAATGTTTCCTAAGAGATATGAGTCTGAGGTGGATCCAGGCATAATACTGGCAACTCTCAATTTGCTGTTCTGGGAAAAGGGAGTTTCCACGGAGCTAAGACACTACCCCCTCAGAAGAGAGGTCCGGAGCCCATTCCGGCGGGTGGGAGAAAGCGGGGACATCGCGCAGCTCCAGCACAGGCCTCCGTCAGCTTGAGGGCCTGAGCACACACCTACATCCGGTGGGGGGGGGGGGCTGGCCCAGAAGGGAGGTCAGGGCCAAGGCCAGTTTCATCCCAGGAATGAGACGAGACTCTGCTGAAGATGCTCCCGAGAGACCTGCCCCCTAGACTCACCAAGCACTCCCTCCACCTCTCAATTCCCCCAGGTCCAGGAGCTGTTCGGAGGGACTGGGTTTGTTCAAGAAAGAGAAGGGGAAACTGACATGACAGGTGACCCCATTCCCAGCAGCTCTTACTGCTCTGACTCCACGTTAACAGAGCATCTACTCTGTGCCAGTGAGGGCCCTTGGCTTTTTCACAAATATCACTTCATCCTCATAGCAACCCCACAAAGAGGGCATCACTGTCCCCATTTTATAGATAAGGAAGCAGAGACCCAGCAAGGCAGAGACTTGTTCAAGGTGGTTAAGTGGTAGAGCTGGGACTAGAATCCAGGATGTGGTCCCTGTCCAGTCTGCACATGCCCCGTCTCTCCTCTCTCCCATCAGTACCCCACCCCCACCTCAACCTGTACTGCGCCTGGAGAAGCAGGAGTCCAGCTGGGCTTGAGACCAGCACGATCTGTGTGGGGCAGGCCCCTCAATGCACTTGGCCCCTCTGCGACTGGCCACCTGCTGGCCCAGCACTGAGCACAGGCTGGGACCATAAATCAGGGCCAGGCACGTGGCAGAGATGGGGACAAAAGATCCCATAAGAGGTCTGTTTTCTACGCTAACAGGACAGGTGGCCTCCAGCTGTCCCCTCCAGGAGCTCACAGGATGGGATGCTTCCTGGCAGCCTGCTCTGCTGTAGGCAAAGGCTGGGTCTGCTTACAGCTAACATCCTTCATCTACTTCAACTGGAGTTAAAACAGCCTGTGAACTTGCCCTTCTCACAAAGTCTGTGTACTCAGACCTCAGGCTCCAAGCAGGTCATGCAAAGACTCAAATCTCAGAGGTTCCCCAATACCCAACCTTGCCCTCCACATCCTGGCAGAGCAAGAAAGGACGGAGAGGAAAGTCCAGGGGGTGCAGAGAATTCTTCACGGGGATCAGGGGAACTGGGGCTAGGCTCTGGACCCTAGGAGCTGTGGGACGGGACTGGAAGCTTCCCCCAGGAGTCTAACCTCAGCACCAGACTAACCCTCTGGGCAGGAACCTCTGCCCATGGTGAGGCCCACGCAGCCCAACCGCTGTTCACTGGAGCAGAGACAAGCGTCAGGTCACACCCAGGCCTCTCTCCTCTTGCTCCTCTCTTCTGAGCTGCCATTGTATCTGGCCAGCCCAGCACAGTTAGCGCCCCTGTCCCTCCCCCTGCCTCCACACCCCTCCCCATGACTTGAAGGCAATGGATGATTCTGTCCCCTTCTCGGCCCCTTCCCCTTCACACTTTCCTCAGGCTGGAAGTCTGCGGCATCTTCGTCCTCCTTTTCTCAGCCTTCATCCTCGAGCAGCAACACTGTTGCCTGGGTGATGCAAGCAGAGAAGGAGAGCGGCTGGTCCAGCCTCCAGTGGACCTGACTGTGTGGGGAGAGGGGCTCCAGGTGAAGTGAAAGGATGGCTCTTTGTGGGCAGCGCCCCTCTTCCTGGTAGCTCATCCTCCTCCACCCAAAAGTATTGTACAACAAAGGATAAAGGGGTGAAGGAGCGTGGAGCCAGAGGGTGGGAGCTCACTTGGAGCTGGGAGCCGAATGGTCTGCATGGAGGAAGGTGGTAGAGGTGTAGTTTTGGAAGAGAGGCTGTAGGAACATCCCGATGGTACCAAAGACACACACGAAGACAAAGATCCAGAGGAACAGGCGATCGATCACCATGGCCACATACTTCCAGTCCTCACTCACCTAGACAGAGGAGAAAAACGATGCCCAGGTATATCAGTCACATGATGCAGGATAGGAGTGGAATGAGTATAAGCATGTCCCACCTTACACACGCACGCACACACACACACACTGCTCCTCTCCCTCCATGTCCCAGAGTGACCTTTCCAAAGCACGGTTTTAATCCTGCCTGTTTAAAAGCCTCCAGTAGCCCCACTGCCTTCAGGACCTATTCAAACCCCCAAATCTGGAATCTCCCACGAATGACAATAGGAGCCTACCCCCTATCCTCTTCCATGCTATAACTCAGATTTACCAAACCCCACATGTCCTTTCAGTTCTCTGTGCCTTTGGGCTTTCTTTCTGTCTAGAATTCCAGTCCTCCCTGGTGAACTCCTATACATCCTTCAAAGCCCAAATCAAATGTCACCTATTCTATGAAGGCTTTCCTGATCCCCTGATCAGAATGAACCATATCTTCTGGGTTCCTTCAACACTGCATACACATTTCTAGCACAGTATTTTTACTGAACTGTGTTATCACTCTAATTTGCATATCTGCCCCCCAACCCCCTTCCTTCAGCTCCTAAACTATAGCAACACATCAAATTCATCTTCGTAATGCTAGCACCTGGAACACAGAGTGCTGGTAAGCGGATGTTGAATTAGTGAATGAACAGTTTCTACTGCTCCTTCTATGACTACATGGAGAGCCCCGTCCAACAGCACCATCTTGAGCATGTAGGCCCCAGACGGTGAGGACTAGGTCCCAGATGTGAACAAATTAGTCAAAAAGACAATGAGCTATGGGGATCTGAGGGGAAGCACTAGCTGCTCCACTCCAGCCTGAGTCCGGGTCCTAGTACACATGTTCACCTGAAGCCCAGCCAGCTGGGGGGATGAGAAGGAGGCAACCTCGCACCTTCATTTAGTCAGCAGCTGCATAATGACTCATTTGTGTCATGTGTGCCTACTATGTACCTGGCCCTATGCCGGCACTGAGGACATAATGAGAGCAAGACAAACACATCTTACGGTTTACAGTCTACTGAGGGAGATGGACACAAAATAAGTAAAAATGAAAGAATTACAGCCTGGCCGGGTAGCTCAGTTGACTGGAGCATTGTCCCGCACACCAAAAGGTCGTGTGTTCAATTCCCAGTCAAGGGCACATACTTAGGTTGCAGGTTCAATCCCCGGCAGTCCGGGCGCATGAGGGAGGCAACCAATAGATGTGCCTCTCTCACATCAATGTCTCTCTCTCTCTCTCTCCCCCCCCTCTCTCTCTCTCTTCCCCTCCCCCTTCCACTCTCTCTAAAAATCAATGGAAAAAATATCCTCCAGTGAGGATTAACAGAAAAGAAAATGTTTATACCATGAAAGACAAAGCTGAGGAACTGGTCCAGATTGCAAAAAACTAAAGAAGCAGGATAATTAAATCAATTCAAGATCATGAATTGGGGTGGGGTGGGGGTCATGCTACAAAGAACATCACTGAGAAAATTGAAAAAAAAAATGTAATATGGACTTTAGATATTACATTAATGCTAAATTTCCTGAATTTGATCATTGAACCTGGGCTATGCAAAGCAATATCCCTATTCTCAGGAGAGATACACTGAAGTATTTGGGATAAAGTATCACAATGTCTACAACTGACTCTCAAACAGTATATCAAAAATTATTACTACTACTAATAATAATTTTTCAAAGGAAAAAAGGGCATTCCAGGCAGAGAGGTCAATACATGCAAAAGTCCTGAGGCAGGAAAGAGCTTAGCTTGCTTAAAACAGTCAACCAGATAAGCCAGTGAGCTGAGCAAGGGGCAGAAGGCACAGGTGAGGGGGGGACACTGTCTATTTGGCTGGAGGAGCACAGGAGCTGAATCAGGGAGACCATTTGGAGTCTCTGCCCTGGTTTGGGCAAGAGCTGATGGAGGCCTACAGCCAGGAGCATAGCATGGAGATGGTGAAGAAAGGGTGAAGCTGAGGATTATGTTGGAGGTTGTGTTCATAGGTCAGGACTTCTGAAGATTTGGATGGTGGGGAGGTAAGAGAGAACGTGAGAAGTTAAGAATCACTCCCAGTTTTTAGTCTAAACCATCAGATAGAAGGTGATGCCATTTACTACAAGATAGGAGATCAGAAAGAGGAGTGGATGGGGATGTAGATCAAGCACTCAATTTGGGGCATGTTAAGTTTGAGATGCTTGTGAAGCATCCAAGTAGGTCACTGCATCCTCAGCACCCAGCTCAGGAGATGCACGTGACAGGAGTGGACTGCACTGCAGCAGGGGAGGCGGAGGCTGTGAGGAAGCTAGCTGAGTCCCTGCGCCTCCACCCCCACCCATGCACCCGCCCCCCTCCTTGGCCTCTGCTGGCTCTCAGGCTTCCACCCCATCACCTCCAGCCTGGGCAACACTTCTTCCTCCATCAGGACCTGCTCAAATGCCAGGCTCTTAAATCCCCCCCCCCCCCCCGCCCAAACAGTAGTGCAGGAGCTCACCCTTCTTCACCCTCAAACCTGAATGGCACCGACCCAGCAGAAACCTTGCTAGTCACCATGGCAACAGCTGAGCAGTAGCCTGGAACTAGCCAGCCACAGCCCAAAGTGGGGACATGTCAACTCTTCATACTTGGGTCTCAGATTCAGAAACCATGGGAGTCCCCTTTCTGGGAAGCTGCTCTAGAAAAAGCCAGTTGTGCAGACAGCCGGGTTGGGGGGGAGGGAAGAAGGGGTGTCCCCGAAGCCCGAGCTTCCACCTGCCCCCACCTTCATAAATATTTCACGAGGCCATTACCCTGGACACAGGAGAGCAGAAACAATATATTGATTTGGGACTGTCCTCTTCTCCACCAGCAGGCTCTTGGAACCTCTTAACACCCACACACACACACACACACACACACGCATGCACACACACTTCTTCCACTGCCTTCAATTTTGCCCCCCACTCCCACCCCACCCCACCCCACACACACAAAGGAACCAGTCTCAGTTTGTGCTAAGAGCTGAAAATTAATAACTTGAACTTGGGAATGCAAGCGGCGGGTAGGGACTCTCAAGGACACGGCCACAGCCAACTACAAACCTTTCCTGGCCACCCTCCTGACACTAATGATGCCCCAGATGGGGCATTTTCGCCCCGGATGCTGGTCCTCAGGAAGCCGCAAGATCATCCTGTACGACCCCAACTTAGGCGGCGCCTCCTCCCGAAAGCCCGCCAAGAACCCTGTTAGCGCCCAGCACACAGCCTCAAGTGGACTCACATTTCCCGCATCCAGCCCCATTAGTGTTGCTTGTTTACACCGTGCAGCTTGTTTCCAGATACTGCAGCGCTCACGTCGCGAGTCCCCACACCCCTTAGTGCCCGCCCCCGGGTCGCACTCACGCTCTGGTCGTCGTCCTCGCTGCGCATGTGGTCCGCGATGAAGCGCACGCCATCCACTGCTTCCCGGAGGCCACAGCCACAGGGCTCCCCCGAGCGCCCCGGGACGGCTGCAGGCGCGGGCTCCTCCCCGAAGGCCCCAGCCAAGCCCTGGACGGACGCGCGGTTGACGAAGCATGTGCAGGAGTTGGACCCCAAGGTTTCGCGGAAAAAAAGTGCTCCAGCGCCCTCTCGCTCGCGCTGCCGTCGCCTGTGGCGCAGGCGTTGGCGGGCGCAGTGGTGGCGTGGCTGCTGCATGAAGAGGAGCGTGGGCAGCTTCTCCAGAAAGACGACCTTGACCCAGGGCGCCATGGTGTGCGTGGTGGGCGAGCGGTGGTGCACGTTGAGCACACACACGCTGGTGACGATGGAGAAGGTGACGAGAACCATGGTGAACATGAGGTACTTGCCAACAAGCGGCACATCGAGGGACGTGGGTGGCACGATCTTAGAGATGAGCAGCAGGAAGACGGTGAGCGCCAGCAGCACGGAGATGCACAGCGTCATCTTCTCACCGCAGTCGGACGGCAGGTAGAAGACAAGGATGGCTAGTGAGGTGATGAGCACACAGGGGATGATGAGATTGATGGTGTAGAAGAGTGGCTTGCGGCGGATGATGAAATCATAGGTGATGTCCACGTAAGTGGAGTCCTCGGGGTTCTCGTTGCGCCGCCCCGGCAGCGCGACGATGTCCCACTCGCCACTGGGTGTGAAGTCGTCCAGGCTGGCCACGTCACTCTTGAGCACCAGGTCGATCTCCGTGCGGTCGTAGGTCCACGAGCGGAACTTCATGGTACAGTTCTGCTGGTCAAATGGGAAGTGCTTTACTTCGATCTTGCAAGCACTCTTGTAGATGGCAGGCGGCAGCCAGAAGATGCTGCCATCATAGGAGACCACAGCATTGGAATAGAAGGACACCTCGTACATTCCGTCAGCACTGCCAAGGGATGAGAACAGTCAGCCCTACTTCAGCATTCCTCCACCCCCACCCATCAATCCAGCCCAGTACAAGACGAGAGGAAAGTCAAAGGAAGATGTCAGAGGGGAAACCCAATCTGCGAGTGACCAGCCAGAGTTTAGGGAGGTGGAGCAGGAATTGAGCAAGAATGGTATCTGGGTGGGTTTGTGAGGAGAAGAGGTGTTCTCTCAGGAGACCTGTGAGGTCCCTCGGAGATGAAGAACTGGATGAAGGGGGTGAGGGACACATCTGCTACTTGTCATGCATTGTGTACATTGTTTGCTTCATATGAGGGTAGAGAAGTCGGGAGAACCAAGGAGGCCAGAGTGAGGCACCCCAGGCAATGGAAGAGGACAGAGGCAGGTGGGAGCAGGAGATCATCCCACTAGTGGTTTTGGATCTTGGAGGTAAGAGGGATTAATTCAGGAGAGAGAATGGGACCAGGAGGAGAAACTGAGACCTCCAGGTTCTCTGATCCTGCCCAAGACCCCAGGACAGCCTATCTTGAATCAGTTTAGGCATTGGGGGCTGTCGATCCTTATTTGTAACTCACTGCAGCTCCAAACACTGGGACTTCTAATTGGCTGAGAGGGGGCTGACCATGGGCCAAGTCACCTTGGTTGTCCATATTATACCTCACTGGTCTGAGTCTATCTATCTGGGTATTGACTGCATCTATACCAAAGAAAAATTTTCTTCTCTATACCTAGGGGGAACTGATTTACGTTCCCCAAGACCCCTTCCTTCCCTGAGCACTCCCATGATCTCCCCCAGCCTTCCCATTGCTCCGAGGTCACCTACTTGTTGTATAGGACCACATCTGGGAGCCATATGTGTTTGGAAGGGAGTCGAACTTTCTTCATATTGTCAAACTCCTCGGGCTTCCAAGTGAGGCGATAATCCTCCCATTCCTGGGAAAGGGAGAGAAGGAAGCAGCAACAACCTCTGCCCTAGGAAGGGCTCAAGGTTAATGACAGGGGCCAGAGGGTGCCCATCTGGCTTGAGGAAGCTTTTCAAGCAATCACCTTCTCACAATGACTTCTCAGCCCAGCAAATGTTACTCATAAAATACGTTCTCATCTTGCACAGCTAAGCCAAGATATTAGAATCTACAGTCTACAAACAAGAAAATGAATCTTGCAGAGTTTAACGTGTTCAAGTCACAGAGCTGGTGAGTGGAAGAACCAAGACTCAAATCCAGTTATTTAAGACTCCAAAGTTGATACCTTTCTGCCTGTCTTCAGGAGATTAAGAGAAGGGAAAGCACATTTTTTAAAAAGAAAAGAAAAAGGAGGAAAAGAAGACCAGGGGTATGAGTGACAAGAACACTAACCTGGGTCAGCCAGACATTGGTGGTCATGATCTGCTCCCGCTCATGCTGCAGGAAAAAAGAGATGCTGCTGAGAATCCAGCCAGTGGGCCCACTACAACCATCCATGGTCCCTCCCACCCCTTGCAAGCCTTGGGAACTCCAGAGAAGTAAGCACAAACATGAACACACTCTGGCTATGTTGACTTCAGCAGCTGGGCAGAGAGTTTGGAACCCACACTCACCACACTGATGAGCTGGGCCAGTGATACCATGAGCTGTACTGTCACTAGCTCAGAGCCATTGGTGGCTGGGCGAATAAGCTTGTTGTAGCGGGAAGGATCCAGGAGATGCTCCACCAGCCGCTCCTCTGTGTCCGTACCCCAGACTCCTGGGCAGGGTGTTGAGGGGCAGAAGGTAAGTAAGTAGGCAAGAAAGGCCCACCCAGGATCCCACTCACTCTAGGCAAATGAGGCAACCCAGGCCCAAACAGGAGGCTGTAGCTTCCCAATGCTCCATCCCTAAGGATACATCAAACTGTTTAGGTTACCCCATGGAGGCCCCCGTTGAGAAACTCCTCCCTGAGATCACTGACCAAGTTTCCCAGACAGCCCTACACAGATGCCTCTAGACTAAGAAAGCATTCTGCAGGGATTAGTGAAGACCTGCTCTTCCTGCAAGGTCTCAGAGGATGGTTTAAAGAAAAATCCATGTTTCCATGGCTTCCCCTAGAAGATACCTTCAAGTCAGGAAAGGTTTTGGAGGATGGTAAAAGGAGAACGGTTACTCATGTCCCACCACACATCCCTTCCCCTCAGTCAGTGCTCAACTATGTGTGTAAGTCACATGATGTGCCTCCACACGTGGAAGTCTCATTAGGTTGTGCATACCCTTTGCACCTGCCCTTCATACACTCTATCACCTTCTGTACCTCTGCACAAACACACCCCACCCCCTCAGAGTGCTCCTCCCTGGCCCCCAGCCCGGCAGAGTTTATTCCCTTCCAAAGTCGTCTGTCCCACCCTACGAGACAGTTGAAGTCAGTTCTCTCTCCCTCCTGCCTTGCCCCTGTGGAGTGACCAAAATCAGGAGCCCGATGTGGTGGACAGGAAATGATGGAGAGCCAAAGAAGGTTGCTGAACCAGGTAGACTTCTTGATATAATGTTTCACAAGAAGGCAAATGGCATCTCAGTTGCAGAGATTACCCTCCTGCTACCCTAGAAAGCCAGGGGAGATTCCCTCCCTCCTTCCTTTGTGTGTCTACACCCTCCCCACCACCACTGCCCAGGTTTCTATCTCTTCCTTGCATCACTTCCTCCTTAGGGTATGTCCTCCCACCAGTTCAGTCTCCCACACTCCCTGCAGGCCCGAAGGTCCCTCCCGTGACCCCCAGCAGACTCCCCACCTCTAGGAATCTCTTCCTTCCACCTTTGAGCTTGACTGGGGTGAGACAGAGCGCAGGGACCTGTGATTACCTGAGCACAGCCGGAGGAGGCCAAAGCCGAGGAGCAGCGCCATGGGCCCCGAGCGCCAGGCCATGCTGCGGGCATAGCTCGCGCCTCACTCACACCCTCCGGAACGCGCTGCGAGCGGGCGGGCCGCTGGCGGGTGCTGTCCGTGGTGCTGAAGCCGCGTCCGCGCCCGCGCCGCCCGCGCCCGGCCCGGAGCTGGGCCCAGGTGGTGCTCGTGGCCTTCGGCCGGATGCCGTGACGATCCTGGGGCGCAAGGAGTGGGCTGCGAGAAGGAACCGGCTTCTCGCTTCCCCCGGCGTCAGCGGCGGAGGCTTTTCCTGCTGCTCTTCCTGGGAATACAACTGGGACGGGGAGGGGGAGGAGTCTGCGCCTCAGGCGGAAGCGCCAGAACCCAGAAAAGAAAAGGGTCTCCGGGTGGGATATTCTTTTGTTGGTCCTGCTTATTTAGGGTGTGCGTCAAGCAAAAGAAGAGAAGCTCACGGGACAGGGGAGGAGTTGTGAAGCCCCGAAGTTGGGGCAGGACGTGGAGGTTGACTAAGAAGGGGCGAGAGAAACAGTGCGAGCCACACAAATAGGTCAGGACCCGCTTAGTACAGGGGTACGGAGGGCCAGAATGAGGGGGCAGAAGTCAGGAGGAGGTTCTGGGGCCCGACCTCCTTTTTTCTCTTACCAAACCCAGATGATCCTGCTCCAGGTAAGGCTGAGAATGCAGCAGAGAAAGTGCCCTAAGGGGAAGAGACGAGGGGCTGTGGGTTTGCTATTTTTAAAAAACAAACAGCTTTGGAGTCTAGGAACAGAGTCCTCTCACCTGTCCCATTCCTACCTCCTTCCATAAATTCTCTAAAAGACCAAGCTTTCTGTCCTCCCCCAAGGGGTCTAAGGTGGGGGCTTCTGGACATAGCCTGAAGAGAAGGTAACCTTGAAGGCCTTGAAGAGTGAAAGAAAGATCAGTGGTTCTTATCAATTAGCCTTTCTCACCCCCATTCCCTTCCATTCCAGTCTGTGGCTTTTGTGTGACCAGGAGGATCAGAAGACCATTTCACAGAGGCCAGCCCAAGAATGAAGCTAACACAAAGGAAAGCAAAGATGAGACAGAGAGAGAGGTGTCAAAATTCAATCACATCTTTGATCTTGAAAGCCCTGAACTTTTAGCTTCTGAGCCAATGAAAGCTTCCCTTTTTCCTTAGGTAGAGTTTTATCACTTTCAACCAAAAGATTCTTGACTAAAGCAGCCTTATCATACATCAAGGCCCTGTCTTATTCCATCTTTGCCTACTTCTTCAACCTCATCTAGACTCCTACCCCTAGCTCTACACTTCAAATATTAGCAATGTCTTTAAGATCCTTGAACATTCTGTCCCTTCCATCCTCCACACTCAGGGTTCTTTAAACATGTAGCTCTCTTGGCTCCTTTGCTACCCATTTCCCTTCAACCACCATGTACTTAACTTTGAACATCTGGCAGAAATGTCAGTTCCTTAAGGAAACTATGCCTGACCAAGGACTAGATCAGGTGACTTGCTATGTTTTCAGCAGTGTCCAATGAATAAATGAATCAGTCTAAGGTTGTGGCTGTCTCTCCTGCTAGATCATGAATCGGCACAGTGCCTGGCATATTGTGATGGCTCAACAAATAAGGAAAAGGCCTAGTACAGGACTGACACCTTTTAACGTGTAGAGTTATATCCCTCTCTGAAAGCTCAGTTCCTGCGCTCCGGCTCCGGCACAGCTGCCGGGCCAGCCCGCTTCTGGACCACGGCCAACACAGAGCACACCTTCATCACTATCAAGCCTGACGGCAGTGTGCAGATGGTGGGCGACATCATCCAGTGCTTTGAGCAGAAGGGGTTCTGCCTCCTGGCCATGAAGTACCTTCAGGCCTCTGAGGAACTCCTGAAGCAGCACTACATTGACCTGAAAGAACACTGATTCTGCCCTGGGCTGGTAAAGTACATGAATTCAAGGCCTGTGGTGGCCATGGTCTGGGAAGGGCTAAATGTGGTGAAGACAGGGAGACCCTGTTCAGCAGATTCTAAGCTTGGCACTGTTCAAAGAGACTTTTTCATTCAAGTTGGGAGGAACATCATTCACAGCAGTGATTCAGTAAAAAAGTGCTGAGAGAGAAATCAGCCTATGGTTTAAGCTGAAGAATTGATTGACTGCAAGTCTTGTGCTTTTGACTGGATTCATGAATAAGAGGTGGGCAAAGCATCAGTCCCGTTGGCTCCTTGGATGTGTCCCTGGACACAGCTCTTCATTCCATTGACTTGGAAGCAATAGGATCTATCTTTCTTTTCTAAAGCATATTTACCAATAAAGCCTTTGGAAACTGGAAAAATAAATAAATAAAAGCTCAGTTCCTGGAATTGTGAAGGAAGAGCAAGACAAGTACCAGAGAGAGAAGGATTAGAGAGAAGTGGGATGGCTACAGGCCTTGTACTGCACATGGAAATGAGCCATAAATCTGCACCACAAGCTTCAAGGTAAGGGCATATGTAAACATGTAATAATATCTGAAGAATTAAAGAAATCTTGGAACCAAGGAAAGGACTGAAGAATAAAAGCCTATGGAAAAGGGAAGGAATGTATGCTGTCACACCACTTGGGGAAAGGGTCAAGGGCAGGAAGAAGACCCACCTTCAACAATCAGATCAACATTTATTGAGTATCTGCTGCACAGGTTTTGAGGATGCAGTGATCAAAAAGACCTAGTCCCAGCTATTAAGGAGATCACAGTTTGGCAACAAAGACTTATTACACTATATGGTGGCTGCTTGGTAAAGATATAAACGAGTTGCTATGGAAGGACAGAGGAAGGAGAGGTTAATAGTGCCTGAGTGCCTAGAGGGAATGAAGATAAAAATTGAGATTTGAAAGATGAGAAAGCCAGTAAGACAAGATGAGAAAGCCAGTAAGACTTAAAGGCATTTCAAATTCTTGAAATAGTTTGACAGGGAGCTCTACATGTAGATAGTACTTAGTGCTTTCCTTTTTTGGTGAATGCTGGGTGATTGAAGAAGGCTTCCTTTATGCAAATCTCTTTCTGGAGTGCTTGCTTGTCTCTGGTTTGACAGACTAGCGGGTTATTTGCTTTCTTGAAGCCTTTGGTTGCTACCTGATTTTCCTTCAGTCTTCTCACCTTGGCCTCTACCCTCTCTTTTCAAATTCCCCAGCTTTTACATCAAGATTAATTCCAGCCCAGCAGGGAGTAAGTCCTCTCAGCACAACCACCCAGAGGCCAAGGAGAGCTGGAGCATGCTCTCTCCCTCACATCTGCCACACGCACTCCTTCCATACCCACCAGGAAGAAAGGCAGCCAGAGAGAGAGGCCAGGCCCAGGACCATGCAGGGTGATGGACAGATACAGACGTATCAGCCCTGAGGCAAAACAGAAACCAGGCAAAGTTTGGTGAGTCACTCCCTTTGCCTCTAATGGTAAGGAACAGTTTCTTTGGAAAGGCATTGCAATCCATTTATCCACATATTTATGTGTACTTAGATATTACATACAAAAAGCATATAAATTATGTGTACAGCTAGATAAATTTTCACAACATGAACCCAGCCATATAATTCCCACCCAGATTTTAAAAAATAGAACATTAGTAATATCTAGAAGACACCCCCGCCCCCTCCCAGTCATTATTCTCTCCTCTTCAAAAGTAACCTCATGGGGGCAAGGAGGAATGGGGAGTGAGCGTTCAAGGGGCACTGCTTAAAGTTCTGGAACGAGATAGAGGAAATGGTTACACAACACTGTGACTATAATGAATGCCACTGAATTGTACACTTTAAAATGGTTAAAATGGTAACTTTTATGTTATGTATATTTTCCCACAATTAAAAAAAAAAGACTAAAAAAAGTAACCACTATTCTGATTTCAAAGAGCACAGATCGACTTTGCCTGCCGAATTTCATATAAATGGTATTAAGAGTTACACAGGCAATATAATTCCTAATGACCACTTTGCAAGCCTCCCCACCCCAGGAGAACAAAGACCAAACTTCCCGTCACAGGAGAACTGGCCAGACAAGAAATGCAACTGGATATCAGGAAGCAAAGAAGCATCTAATCGCACATCCGCATTCCTGTAGATCCAACTCCACTGCCCAAACCCACCAACCAAGACCCCAAAACCCACTGACTGACGAAAGCTTCCCACCAGTGGATGCATATAAGGATGAAACTCCAGCTCCTAGGGGCTACCATCATCCACCCAATACCCCATGGCTTGGTGATGTGTAGCCCTTCCCATTGGATATCCCTATCCCCCATCTCCTTTTCTTTTCTTTTTGAAAATTTTATTTTATTTCTTAAACCCTTACCCGAGGATATTTTTTCACTTATTTTCAGATAGAGTGGGAGGGAAAGAGAGGGAGGTGGTCGGGGCGGGGAGGGGGGGGGAACATCGATGTGAAAGAGACACATAGACTGGTACGAACGGCAACGAGGTACCCTTGACTGGAATCGAACTCACAACTCATTGGTCTGCAAGCCGACGCTCTAACTGCTGAGCCAAACTGGCCAAGGCCCCCATCCCCTTTTCTTTAAATAAACCCAATTTTTTTTATTTACCATCTGAGATTGCTATTTGTTCATTTCTTTATTTATACATCAGATGGATAATGTGCCAAAGTTGTGACAAGGTTTAGTGGGAGGCACATCTCATACAAAAGTATGAAAACCCAATCATCATACTTATGGACTACAAACGGATCTGAGATTGCTATTTAGTATGCCTGCACATCTCGAACTACTGACTTTCACCTTTCAAACAGAATCATGATCTTTCATATATTTTTAACATTATGCTAATGAGAATTATTGACATTGTTTAATGTAGTTGTAGTTTATTTATCTTAATTGCTGTAGAATATCCCATTGTATGACTATAACATCATTTATTAAGGCTATTTACTATTTTGTTTTGTTTTTTATTTTTTATTGATTGATTTTTAGAGAGAGAGAGAGACACACACACACACACACACATTCATTTGTTTTTCCACTTATTAATGCATTCATTGGTTGATTCTTGTATGTGCCCTGACTGCGTATTAAACCCACAACCTTGGCATATCGGGACAATGCGCTAACCAACTGAGAACCCAGCCAGGTCAGTTGTTTCCTATTATGGATGATTAAAAATATTTCTATCGCCCTGGCCGGTTTGGCTCAGCGGTTAGAGCGTCAGCCTGCGGTCCTGAGAGACCCGGGTTCGGTTCCCGCTAAGGGCACGTACCTTGGTTGCAGTTTGTCCCCGGCCCTGGTCGGTTGTGCGGGTGGCAGCCACTCGATGTGTCCCTTTCACATCGATGTTTCTCTCTCTCTCTCTCTTCCTCTCTCTCCCTCCCACTCTACCTGAACAAAAAATGTCCTCGGGTGAGGATAAAAAACAAAATAAAATAAAATAAAATAAAATAAAAATAAAAATATTTCTATGAACATTCTTGTTCATGTTCTTGGTGTACAAATATATGCATTTCTGCTAGGCACATAGCTAAATTGTGTACTTTTTTAAAAGTACACTATAATATAATTTTATAACCTTTTTTCATTTACTATTTCTCAAACATCTCTTTAGACAAATAAGTATTTTTGATAACTTTTTAAACAGTTGTATAGTATTCCACTGTGGGTACATTTTTTAACATATCTTTAATAATTTCCAAGTTAAATTTCTGGGTCAAAGGTTTTCAAGTTTTTTTATTATTTATTTATTGCTAAATAATTATTTTATTCTACCTCCAGAAGAATCAATACTATCAGGTTTACACTTGAGGCCTCAGGCTAAAGCACCAATGACCAACATCTCCACAATCTTGCGTATGCTGACCCTCTTCCTCGTCTTCCTCCTCTTTTCTCCCAAGTTATTCCTACTTTGTCTTAGGGCCTTTCTTCCCAACCTCCTTCTACTTTAAGGCCCAGTTCTTTTAGAATGTCTCTCCATTTCCACCTAAGTAATTTCTACTGTCCTATTCTTTCTTAGGAGATAATCCCAAATAATATCACCCTTCAAGGCCCTTACCTTTCTTGATCCCTATTATTGTGTTTGCCACATTGAATTATAGATGGTTATATCTGGCCCCAGTTCATCCATCACCATGTGCTCCTGAGGGCAGGAGTAAGAAATACAACAAAATTGATGAGAAGCAGCTGTCACGTAAGGAGCCCCTCCTCTGTGCCAGGAATGAAGCCAAGCACTACCCGCAGGGACTGTATCTTATTTGTCTCTGCATCCCCAGCGCCCACTATAGTTCCTGGAAAAGCACAAATGCTCAGGACACATTTGTTGAGCCAGTGACAGAGTGCTATGCTTCTAGAGCAAGTCAAAGGAGAAGATGCTCACTCTGCCCCCAATAAGAGCATCTGCTTATTCTGATAACACATGACCTTTGGGAGGAAAAAAAAAATCTCTACCATCCATTTTACATACAGCAGCCAGAATGACCTTTTAATTTTTTAAATCTGATCATGTCACTCACAGCTTAAAATCTTCTGATGGTTTCCCACCGTACTTTGACTAAATCCCAAACAATGAACTGTGGTCTCTACAACTGAGCCCTCGTTTTTTTCACTGGCCTCATTTCTTACCACCACCCCTTCTTCCACTAGATCCAAGGTGTGCTGCACCCTCTCTCTTTCTGAAAAACCGAGCTCTTACTTTGTGCACTATTCTAAGCACTTTTCATGTATCTCTCTTAATCTTCCCACCAGCCTCATGAGGTAGGTACTATGATGATCTCCACGTTACGGATGTGGAAACTGAAGTACATATAGGCTAAGTCACACCATTAACAGCTGACGCAGCTGGGGTTCAAAGCCCATGCTCTCGGCCAGTATATCATTAGTTCCTACTTCTAGACCATGCCATCTTTGTTCTCACTCAGGGTCTCTGAGACTGTTGTTCTCCTTGCTGGAATGCTCTTCCCCATCCCTGCCCTGCCTGCCCTCTCTTCTTCAGATCTCAGCTCAAATACTGCCTCCCTAGGGAGACCACCCCTGAGTACTGGACTTAAAGTGACCCCAGCCATTTTCTCCTACATGACCCTGCTCTAATTCCTTGCATCTGCATACCAGTCAGTCTTCTGGTCATTCATTCGTCTGGTTTCTGATTCTTTGCACTAGAAAATAAGCACCATGAGATCAGGGATCTTGTCTGTCTACTGCTGTATGTTCATACCTAGACCAGTGTTTGACCCATGGCAAAGCCCCATAAATGTTTACTGAATGGCGAGTACCTTTTGACTTTGTAGCAGTAACAATAATCTTAGTAACAGTAGTCTTTAACATTTGCTGAGCAATGTACAATGTGCTCATCAGTGTTAATCATTTTACATATCTCATTTAATCTAAACTGACACAATGATCCACCCTGCAAGGCAGAAAGAGTATAATGCCCACTTTACAGATAAGGAAACTGACTTTCACAGAAATTAAATAACTCGCCCAAGGTCACACAGCTAGCAAAGCAGATGAACTCAATCCAAACCCAGTTCTGTCTGACTCCCCAGTCCATACTCCTTTCACTCAGCTGTGGAAGGGGCATGGACTCCTTTGTGGTCTAATTCAAAAGACAGCTGTAGCCAACTCTCTAATTAACACCTATGGCTCTGCCTCTCTCCTGAGCTCAGAACACACATCCTACTGGATGTCTCCAGGAGAATATCCTACATCACTCCCTCCCTCCACAAACTCAGTATATTTATAACCCAACTCTCCACCCTCCCCACAAAACTCAGCTCTCATTCTCTATTAGTGCTACTACCTTTCTTTTCCCAGGCTTGCAGAGCTTCTCAAAATTCTAGTGATCCTTTTTTTTTTTTTTTTTTTTTTTGGTACGTGCCCCTAATGGGAACCAAACCCTGGACACTCTGGTCCGCAGGCCGATGCTCCAACTGCTGAGCCAAACTGGTCAGGGCTCTAGTGATCTTTTAATCTTCCTTGATTTTAAAATAAAGCCGCACTTCCCAAACATGGTTTTGAATGTCTGCCATGATTTGGCCCTTGCCTGCCTTACCTGTATCTCACTCCCTTGTTGTAGACACAGGCCTTCTTTCCATTCCTCCAACTTGCCATGGTCCTACATCAAAACTATTGTGTATGGCCCTGGCCGGTTTGGCTCAGCGGTTAGAGCGTCGGCCTGCGGTCCGGAGAGACCCGGGTTCGGTTTCCGCTAAGGGCACGTACCTCGGTTGTGGTTTGTCCCTGGCCCTGGTTGGGTAGTGCAGGTGGCAGCCACTCGGTGTGTCCTTTTCACGTTGATGTTTCTCCCTCTCTTCCTCTCTCTCTCTCCCACTCTATCTGAACAAGAAAATGGAAAAATGTCCTCAGGTGAGGATAAAAACAAAACTATTGTGTATGCTGTCCCTTCTGCCTACGTCAGTGTCCAGCCCTTCCTCCCCTCATAGGTAATTGCACTTATCCTTCAGAATTTAGCATGTCACTTGTTCAAGGACACCTTCCCAGATCGCCAGTCTTGTTCTTCTTTGAGGCACCTACTATAACTCCAATTAAGTGACTGGATGTGTAACAATTCAAGAAGTGTCTTTCTACCAGGCTGAATGCACAGAAAAGGTGAGGACTGGTTCTGTCTCTCTTTTTTTTTATCCTCACCCGAGGACATTTTTTGATATTTTGTTCAGATAGAGTGGGAGGGAGAGAGAGAGAAACATCGACGTAAAAGAGACACATCGAGTGGTTGCCACCCACACGACACAACCAGGGCCGGGGACAAACTGCAACCGAGGTATGTGCCCTTAGTGGGAACTGAACCTGGGTCTCTCCGGACCGCAGGCCGACGCTCTAACTGCTGAGCCAAACCGGCCAGGGCTGGTTCTGTCTCATTTAATGCTGCATCCCCAGTGCCTCACATGTAGTAGGTGCTCAGTAAATACTTCCTCATCTTCTCTTACATCTAGGGAGTCAGCTGGCTTTGTAGACTCCACCTTTATCATGTGTTTCTCCCTGCAGAATGTAAGCTCCATGAGGGCAGTCATTTTTGTTTTATTCACTCCTGTTTCCCTAGCACCTGAGAATTCATTAAATGAATATATTCACCACTTCCATTCCATTTATAATGCTAATTCACATTTTAGCAGAACACCAGCTATGACTCCATGCTAGGCTTCTGTCAGAGGAATCTCTCAGCGAGAGAGCTGAGATACTGAACAGATTAGCAGAGAGGAAGAGACAGACCTCATCCCAGTAACCATGACTTTTGAGATTCTTCACTGGGGGACTTGGAGTCTATGCAACATTGTGGGACTACCTCATCACCTTGTTTTATTCTAATTAAAGTCCTTTATAAATATATAGAATTCAGGATCTTCCAAATGGCTACATTTGTGGGTTCTTTGGGTAAGGGCTGGAGTCAGGTGGCATATGAAGACCTCTTAAGAAAGCATCAGAGAGAGAGAGAAACGCTGTAGCTTGACCACTTCTGCTAAGAAATGCCATCAGCTTTAAACACCTCTTTGGCAGAGGGAGGTTTCCAGATGTCTTGGGCTCTTATTTATTAATTGGCTCCCACCATGAGTCAGGCACTGTGATAGGAAGTCTAAGGAATACAAATATGGGTGATGCACAGATGTCAAGTCCTGCAGATAACTGGATGATTAAGAGACTATAAATAAAAGAAAAGCCTATCAAAAAATGACTACAATATCCCCTTTCTGAGTGGGAGAACCAGCCATATTTTCACTTTTCACAGTCTGC